GTAAAGCTAATTAACGCGATTTTATGTAATTTTTCACACATAATTGCTAGGATTGTCAATTTCCTTCCGTTAAACATAGTCAATTATTAATTCTCTAACCAGTGAAAATTCTTGATATATCCTCCGTTTACTGCATTCAATTCATGCACTATGTGCATATTTGATATAGGTTAACTTTCAAGATTTTTTTTTTTGAATTTTGACTTTATTTACCTATACAAAAACACTGTATGGGCATGGAAATGAAACAAACCCTTTTATACATCAATTATACTTACAAGAAGCACACAATTTTCTGATTTTATAAAGAAAAAGATATTCAAAGTTCTTGATTACTTAAGAAATAATGAATTTTCACTTAATTACTTTGCAATGAGCTGCCAATATTTTTTGAATTATTTGATTCAAGGAATGCATTTAAAAATTTTTTTCTTCATTTATTTATGAGGTTCTTTGATTTACTGTATAGACATTTTTTACAATTTAGTGAATGGTTAATTCCTCTTTTACTAAATTTGCAAGTGTTACTTTATTATTTTTCAATTCAAACAATCAATTAAGTCTGTAGTAAGTTAATTTAGTTCTATTTTCTTTTCTAACGTCCAACTTAAGTACATCATCTCAAAGGAAACAATGGACAAGGGGTGTTAATTATTTAGCATTTAACTGGTTATTTATATTTAGTTAATTGGAAGTTCATTGTTAGTTTTCGATATCCCTCCTAGTCTATGATTAAGTTATTTTTTTTATACTTTTTCATATAGCAAAACAATGTACATAGGGTAATGACTATAAAGAGAAAATGCCCTATGATACCTTAGCCATTCTGTCTTGTTTCCTTAACCCTCCACATTATCTGTTTACCCGTAACAAATTATTTATTTTCTTCTGTTATGAATTTGATTCCATTCTTTCCTATTTCAATTAAGGATTAGTTTTGTTTTTTCCTCGACTTTCATTATTAATGTAAATGTTACATAGCTTTTATTTGTTCTCTGTAAAATTGAGTCTTAAAGTGTGCCAGACATAGACCCTCCTCTAAAAATGAAAATCTCAACTAAATGTGTTATAAGCATCGCAAAAAATAGAAGGGAAAAAATTATAACGAAATTAAAAAATCTGATTTTTTAGTTGGATGATACCAGGCCTAAGATTGGTAATTTTTTTTTTTTTTCAGCGTTCCCCTACTGTTGAGTGTGAACATGAAGGACAGGCTGAAGTACTCGATGATTCATCTTTATTGAACAACGGTATGTATTGCAGCCTAAGACAAAAAATAAATCAAACAAAGGCGAAGAGAAAATTATGGCCCCGTTCAATAAACTCGTCCAAATAATAGAAAAACAGTGCGGAAATACAAATAAACCCAAAACAATTGCACAGAATTATGGGTCCATGTTAGGAGAAGGGTTGGACCAATTACTTCAACCAGAACAAAGTTTGTGCATATGTGAAATGGAACAAGGCTTGGGGAAGATGTGTGCGGACTTTGTGGAATAAAAATATTTGTAATATTGAAACCAGCACTAGTTTAAACAAAATGGCAGCCTGTGCCCGTGGTATTGCGAATGCACCATAAAGAGTGATTTTCCAGCAACATGCTGGGCCATTTAAAAAATATAAAACAGACACTTTTTCTGTAAATACTAGTAAGGTTGTACCTCCAAAAAGACATATTATTAATAAAGCCTTTTTAAAGGTGTTTGAAGAAGATGGAGAATAATCCAGTAAATTATTAGAATACTCATTAGTTATTCAGATTTTTCTGATGCATTTAAAAATGCTTTATTTGTAATGTTAAATTCCTTTATTCATGATGTATAAACAAAAACATATCTTGTATTCATTAATTTGTATGTTGTATTAATTCATTTATATTTTGTATTGTATATTTGAACCTAAAAATATTTATTTGTTCATTAATAGAATTTCTATTTTGTATAATAATAACAAAGTTAAGATATAAAGATTAATTTTCTAGCAACATTATAATTATTAAATTTAGTTTATGTATATGATTTATTATATTTTGCAAATATATGGGTTGTATGTATTATAAATAACATCTTCCATCATTTCCCTTCAAACATATATATTACAACTTGTGTATAAATAACCAATAAATGATAGGTATATGTCAAATTTCTAAAATTAAAAATGCGAATAACAAAACAAAGGCAGTCTCACTATGTGGTTAAAATTTCCACACTTAGACTTAATTGTTATTTTAATCAGACAATGTTTTATACAAATATAACTTTTTTAGGCTTAGGATGGTTGATTATTTATTGAAGTAGGCATCAAAATTGGCACTGTATGATGTTAGTCTCTAACCATGATACAGTCATTTAATTACAAATATAGTATTGTATTATGGTGTTTCAATATGTGCTTAAAATGTTATTAATGCAACTTTATTAGAGTCTAGGTTAGTAATTTTGTGAGTTGTTCGGTTTTATTTGAACTGAAGATATAGAAAAAAAAAGAGATATAGCTTAACACTAATGTCTGTGAAATGTAAAATTAGTAGACAGCCTGACACAAATATGGACACTGAAAAAGAAACTAATCATTTAAAAAAAATAATGAATACTTGTTTTCAACTCTCTAAATGTAGAACAAGCATAGGTTAAAAAATAAATAAATTTTGAACTTTTTTTTTTATATTGACTAAATAATATTTGAAAATGGATATTATTTTATTTTAATGTAATGCGAAGTATTGGGATCATTAAAAATTTCAACTCTGAGTTTTCAATTGAAAAACATGATGTAGGGTTCTGTAAGCACTTCCCTGTATAAAAAAAACTTTTTGCGTAATGGTTTTTTTGTGTAAATGCAGAATCAAGCTAAAAATTGAAAAGTTAAGTGATTATACTTATTTATTAAGGTTGATAGGAGTATGGCAGCGATGTAATTGCAAATTGTTGGCTGAATTAATTTTACCAAAAGTGGAACTTGACATAATTGGTTTTATAGAGTATTTCAATTGAACTATAAAACGGAAATAAATAATGAAGAGTAGTATTAGATGAAGAAGAAACATGAAATGGAATAATAAGATCTAAATAATAAAATGTAATTAGATGAATTAACAAAAGCTTAGTTTATGATAATAACAGGTAATGAATAAGTACGAAAGGTTATGATATATATGCCTTACACACAAAAAGATGATAAGTACAAAATGGCAAATATATGGAAATATAATAAATCAAATAAATATATATAAGTAATGAAAAATGGCAATAATAAGTAATGGATTAAAAGTTTTGATATTTAAAATATATTATGTAAAAATGTTAAAAGATATAATATGTTATATTTCATATCTTATTTGATTTTATTTATATGAATCCTTCTGCTAACAAACTTCCATAATTCATTTAATGGTAAATAATATCTTCATTTAATTTTTGTAGTTTATAATGATTTGTTTGTTATTACTGAAAGACAGAAAGTTAGTTGCACAGAAAATTTTGATTTTGAAAAGATTTTGATTAAACTCGTGTATCGTTGTATAATTAAGTGGTCTTTAATATCATTGAGGTCTTATCCCCATTAATGTCACTTTACATAGCTTAAATGCCGAAATGTTCAACATATCTTCCTCTAAAGTACATTTAATTTGATTAATCGTAAATAATTAACCATCTCTCATTATTAATAATTACCAAAAAAATGCTAAATATAACTTTTGAAAGAATTTGATAATTGAAAAATGAAGAAAAAAGGGAAAATGTGTATTGAGGATGAAAATGAATTTCCGGAAATACTTGTCAGAAGTTATATCGTTGGAAAGCGGATAATTTTAGAAAAAAACAATATGAAATATAGAAAGTAATGGAGAGAAATTATTATAAATAATAATTTGTGTAAACTAATATTATTTTACGGAAATCACATTTTTTCAAGGAAATTAAATAAATGAAATTTACTAACTAAATTTAAATTGTTTTTAAGTTTGAAAAAGTATTTAAAATTCACCTAATCAACGCAATGTTATTGTTAAAAAACTATTTCATAGTACTAATGTGAAAGAAGTGAAATATAAAAATATTAAATGGATGTATAAAGCCTATGTTTATAACCTTAAATACATTTACTGTAGTTTAATAATTCTAAATCTGATATTATATTTAAATAATTAGGTATCAACGTCCGTTGATCGTCGTATAACATTTAAAAAAATTAAATTAGTGAGTAATTTGATGAATTTTCCCTTTGTTAAATTAGTGTAACAACTTTTGAGCTATCTATGACAGGCTATGAAAATCTCGTAATTTCTTTGTAGTAAACTTTACAATGGAAAGTAACAGTTTAATAACTAATAGGCGTAGAATCCATAATAATTTATAGGTTGAATATAGAGATATGCTTGAAAATCTCTCTAGACATATGTATATTGCTCAGAGACCGGAGTTATATGGTTTACGAAAAAAGATGGGGTAGGGAGGTTTTTATTATCTACCGTTGATATAATTAATAGGGTTTCTGTTATTTTAGGGATGATAATGATTAGTTAGCTGTAGACCTTTAAGCTATAGATCCGTTAAAAGTGCACTTAAAAATTTTTATAATTGCTCAACATTTCCAGAAAATAATTTCTATTCAAAGTAGAAAGGTAAGTGAAAGTTGTATGTTGTGCGCACTAATTTTGTTTTATTCCGGATATTGCAAAAAAAAAGCGGAAAATGGAAGTTTCTGTGTCAGCCAATCACAGTGGCTATTCAATGCATCACTAGCGTAGCGCAACGGCCATAATGCAAAACTTGCTTGGATTTTGCCTAAGTTTTCCATTTCGGATGGATATGCAACAAACCGGGGTAAACAGCCCATTACCTTCCACCAGCTGGTCAAAATATCCCCACCACCTTCTCCCACTCTCGCCCTTTCCTTTGTTCTCTACGACAGTGGCGCTAGCAAACTCGGGCAAATTCCCATAAAACTGAGGCAAAATGCGGGAATTTGCCTCGATTTGCCTGTAGTGTGGGCCCAGGGTCACACCGGTTGGTTATTTTACAAATACATTTTTGTCGTTATTTAGATTATATGTTGTTTTTACACAGTTTCGAAACTGAAGTTAGATTGAATCAAACTCTACTTATGTATTACGACATTTATTGAAGGGTATCGCAGAAAGTGGAGATCCAGGGTATATGTTTTTGTTTGGAATTACCAAAATGAGTAAGTTACTGTTCATCTTAACTTTATTGCTAATAATTTAATATTATTATCTTTAGCTTTGTCTGGAAGTGAGAAACTATTAAGTAATAACAAGTTTATTCTTATGGTTGGAAGTATGAATTATTCAAATTCCTATCGCTATTGTCACTATAAATATTTGAAATGATCACTAGTTTTTATTGTTTAACATAATACATTATAGTTAAAAAATAAATATAAACATGTAAACCGAATTTTCAATTTTTTTGATTATTCTTTTTTTAATGATAAATACTTTTAAAAGCCATTTTTCAAACATGTAGTTGAATTATTTTTTTTCATTGTCTTGAACTAATTTATAACAATCTTGGTGAAAATGCCAATCAAATCTGTGACTTGATAATGCAGTGTAATGAATGATTGTGATTTGAATTATCACCCAGTAAATATAATTTTAGTAATAGCACTGGAGTGACTGAAATGTTGTGTTGTTGGTATTAGTAGACAAAAGAATTACTGGAAAGATGGTCAGTGCTAAAATTAAAATATTATGAAAGTTTAAAGATTTTCCTCAGCAGGTAGATCGTAACTTTGTTGTGTCCTCTGTTTTTAAAATTAGTTTTATCTTTTTGATGGAATAAACTATTACCAAATTAAGTGTTAATTAGAATAAATATTTTCTTTTACCTATGTTCGTCATGTTATTGTAGTGGAAAGAGATCCAACCAAAAGAAAAGTTAAACCAGCTCAAGCTCTTTTTGATTTTGAAGATTTGGGTGAAAGTTCTGATGATAGTGATTTCCGTATAGAAGATCATTGTGAAGAATCTGATGATGATTCTATCGATTCAAATGGCAATGGAAAAAGTTCTGGTAAATAATTGTGATATCCTGTATAATCTTACTTTTTAACTTGTATTTTATCTAAAATTGTTCTTATTTATTACAAGATGATGAAGGTAGTGATTCAGGTGCTACTACTGACGTTAGCGATTTGGGAGAAACACTTGGTGATCAAAAAGCTGACGATTATTTAGCTATTCTTTCTGATCAGAAAGAAAACAAAAAACAGGTAACATTTTTGTTTTCTATGTCAATAATACCACTTGAAAGTTTAAAAATAACATTTTTAATTTTGCAAAAAATTGAAATAGAAGTTTTTAAGTTTATATTAAAACTCATTGCAATATAATCTGCATATTAAAACTATTATATGTTGATCATAATGATTTATATTTATATTAATATTTCATGAAATAGATATGAAATCATTATCTGGAAAAAACATAGTTTCTTAGATTGTCAATATTTCATATTGGATGCAAAATATTATAATGAATGACAATTAAAAATTAATTGATTTTTACTTATCATTTTTTTTTTTACTTATAAAACTTAAGTATAAAAACACCTTTGTTTTAACTTCATATTCCTGTTTCACTCTAACAAATTTGATTCTATTTTATTATTTGTTTTTTTAACAGTTCAATCCAAAGGATTCCTTGAATATTTTGATATGTAGTGTCTGTCTGGGTGATAGAAGCGATGCTGCAAATGAAATCATTGAATGTGATAACTGTGGGGTTACCGTCCATGAAGGTATCTTATCAGAAAATTTATGTTGCCATTTTACTTTTCTTATTATTACTTTTTGTCATAAAATTATTTCTATGAATTGAAAAGCTCTCAACATTTTCTGTTTTTACACCTCTGATTAAAAAAAATTGATTTTGTATCTGTTTGCAGTCTGACCAATTAATATTATAAGTCAAGCAGTTTTACATTTCTATAGCTGTTTAAAAATCAGCAGTGCATTTTTATGCAATAATTTATGATATTAAATATTTAGATAACAGTTTTACTTATAAAATTTCTTTTCCCTTTTTTTTTTAAATTATAGTTTATATGATTATAATTAGTGGTTTAATATCTATTAAATTATATTGGAATAATATAAAACATTTGATTACGTTTTTATTGTTTTTTGAAATGTCATTAATTTAATTATTTTTTATGTGTGTTAGGATGTTATGGTGTTCAAGATTCAGATAGCGTTTGCAGTACTGATTCTCCATGCCCGACGACACCTTGGTTTTGCGACTCTTGCAAGGCTGGGCTTGACAATCCCGATTGTGAACTTTGTCCAAATCCAGGTTTGTGAGTTTTGAAAATGGTTATATTTAATTGAAACATTGTTTAACTGTAATGTAATTAGTATTATACTGTTTCTTGACCTCCCTCCCCTCCTCCCTTAGAGGTTTTTACTATTCTTTATTATTTCTTCTTTACTTATTGTTGTTCTCTTCTATCCTTTGGTGTAAAAAGTAAACGTGGACGTCACTGAGAATTGTGTTGATGTCTTTTAGTACTTCCGATGTTTCTATTTTCTCCCTTCACCTCCATCAATATTATTGTCTTTATCCTTTTTCTCTGAGATCATTTCTTATTAATTTTATGTAAGTAGGATAACGTTTGCAACTGTGATCAAGAGAATTTAATCATTTATTGGTCTCTATCTAGTCCTATGTGGATTATAAGTTTCTCACTATAGTTTTTTAATTCATGTTTTTCTGGTCCATAAGTACCATAGCCCCTATTGTTTGTTATCATAATGTTTGGTAAAACAATCCTAAACTTCCTCCTAAGCTTACTATATGGAACTTGTTTACAAAGCTTGGGATCACTCATAGAACTAAATATATTCCAAGCTAAAGCTTTCTGCTTTTCTTGAAACTGGATTCTGGAGAGGTTATTTTTCTTAAACACCATGCCAAAAACTAGCTATTATCCCAAACAGTTGCTAGTCCTTTTCTTTAGCATGTCTAACACGTGCTTACATTGATTTAAAGATACTTTTTCTTCTGTCGTTTCTTCTATGCAGCATAATAACAGCCCTGTATTTGCTAATTAAATGTTCGTATGAGAAGACTTTTTTTTGAAGGGCCTCTTCTGAGTTAATAAGAATTAAAAAAACAAAATTACTGTATTATTTATCTCTATTTCAATAGTTTCTTATCAATTATTTCTCACTTATTGTATTTACTTTGTTTTAGGGGGAATATTCAAGGAAACCGATGTTGGTAAATGGGTACATCTAGTTTGTGCTCTTTACATGCCTGGTGTGGCTTTCGCTGAAGTGGATAAGCTTCAGTCGGTGACCCTGTTTGAGATGGCCTATTCAAAATGGGGAGCCAAGGCATGTTCTCTCTGCTCTGATCAGAGATTTTCTCGAACTGGAGTTGCTGTCGGTTGCGATGCCGGCATGTGCAAAACATATTTTCATGTTACTTGGTACGTTTTTGATAAAATGTTATTCTTGTTTTATATTATTTGACTAAATTATATCTTGGTCATTGTTGTCATGAGTTAAGGGACACTTTAGTTTGCTTTCTCTAAAAAGCATTATTTGTGCAATTTTGATCCAAAACGTTTTGATTGTATTTAGTGGTGGATCCTCTGAATAAATGTTTATATATCTTTTTGAATGATCTGTCTCTTTGCAGTGGGCAGAGGGAAGGACTTCTTGCAGAAGCTCATTCGGAAGAGGTTGACCAAGCTGATCCTTTTTATGCTCATTGTAAGCTTCATACTGATAAGAATTTAATGAGGTTAATATTTTTATTTATTTTTTATAACATATTTTACAAATTTGATGTGGTTATCATTTGACTTATCCAAAGATTTGAATTTTATATAATGTATTTATTTTGATGATTGTTCTATCTGGCAGTTATAGAAGAAGAAAGAAAACAATAGGAACTTTTTAATGAATGAAATTTATCAATCCATTGGTTTGAATGGAACTTTTTTTTTTGTTAATCGAACTAGAAATTTCATATTTTCTATTTATATATTTAGAGATCCTCAAATCATAAGTTCCTTATTAATATACATGTCCCCTATTAATATATTCTTATTGAATGAAGTCATTTTTACCTAATATTTTTTTCATTCTTATTTTCCATCTAATCATAGTCTAAATTATTTTATAGAAAGAGGCGTAGAAACTGGTTGGCTGTCCAAATGAGAATGGAAGAGACAAAAAAGAATCGTAAAGAAACTGAAGACTCGCTAAGAATCCAAAGACGTCTTGGAAAGTACCGGACGAAATACAGTAATTTAAGACTGTCCAGGATACAGCCGTGGGGTAATTTATTATATATCGATAGTTTAATTTTTTTTTTTTTTGTTATAGATAATATATTGTGTTGTTTATTGAAGCTTGAATAATGTTTCTTGGCTATTGCACAAAACTATAGTTAGATAAACAGTAATTAGTCCTTTTAAAAATTTAACATATAATACCTGTTTTATTGTTTTTAGTTCCTACTCAGAAAATGGCACGCCTTCTTACGACTAGTGCTTCAGCTTGCCGAGCCCTGTGGAGGAAGGCAGAGATGAGTGGAGTGGATACTGAAGGTTGGGCGTTGAGGCAGGCTCAAGTTGAAGCTCTGTCGGATGTTCACCGTCGTTGGCATATTCAGCCAGCTTTTAGGTAAATATTTTTTTATAATTTTATATGACATATATGATGTGTGTTATTTGGGTTTTATAACTGTAAATCGAGATAATTCATTAGTCCAAAATCAGTCAGGCATAAAAAAATAAAATAATACAAAATAATTTTTTTCTCTTGCATCCTTGACTGACCATAGAGTAAGACATAATAGTCATTCTACATTCATACCAATTGTAAAAAATAAGGTTTTTAAGGAGATGCCCCTGATTAAGTTGTATTAATCAGTTTGAGTTACCGACATAAGATTGAACTCACAGGCTTTTATCTGGAATTTGTCCTTAAACATCTTTTAATTAACAGTAGTTACTTTATTTCTGAGTTGCTCTTGACTGCGATTTGGACAATTTTCTCTGTTATCAAGACTGTGAGTTATTAAATTTGTAATAATTATTTTTTTTTCATTAGAAAATATACATTTTATTATACTTTTACCTGTTATCTAATATATCTATATTTTTATTCTAGTGTTGAATTTATTGGTTACTATTTGGATCGTAATATCCGAGTGACAAGTATGAAAAAGCAATTGGCAGAATTATTGGAAGAAAATTCAAAACTCTTGGAAGAACAAACTGTTATAGAAACGAAACGTGATAAGGTAAACTTTTATTTTCTAACCGTACTCCTCTTGTACCATTTGGTCTACTAAGAGAGTGTTCACAAAAACTACATTTACATCTGGTAAATTCTATTTTCTTCATAACTGATTTATATCTAGTAAACAGAAGTAAATACCTAATTTCTTGTCTTTTGAAACGTTTTCAATACAGTTTAATTGATTTTGAACCAAAATGTTCTTAAAGCACTTACCACGTACTGTAAAATATATACTTAGCATATATGTGTACAATGCAATTGACATATTCATCAGTTACAGAAATAATGAAATTTTTATCGAATCATGTAAGTGATGATTTACCATAAAAATTAAGTATTCATTAATCATTTTCAGTTTAATTAATGATTCAGACTTATAAACAGTTTTCATGAGCTTTTTTATAGGTGTTTGTATACCATACAATTAAAAGGACAAAATAATAATTTCTAGATATGATTGTGACAAGTTAGAAAGAATAAAATTCTTTTTCATAATCTTAAATATTGTATTTTTAAATTTTGCTTATATGCTGTGGTATAGACACATTTTTATTATATCATTAACATCTGCCTGAAACTTCTTAAATAGCTTCATCTTATCATAACCTACAACTAATTTATTTATGAAAATTCTTAGAATAGGGGTGTTTTCAATCTGGAGATATTTAATTAGATACTGAAAACTTGTAAATACTCATTTGGTTCCCACTTGAATCATAAGATACTTTGAGCACAAAATTGAGAAAAAAGGTGGGCTTTTAAAAAAATATTGAGCCGTTTAACGTGACCTACATCCCTAAAATGTCAAAATAACGAGATTATATAGGTCAACTGGCCCAATATTATTGTATGCCACTTTTTTTCTCGATTTGATGATCAAATTATCTTACGATCCAAAAAGAGGTCTGTACCATGGACTATTAATATATACTTTATTTATGTTAGTTAAAATTTATTTGATAGCATTTAAACTCATGTATGTAATAAATATTTATTTTTCATTAGGTTGTTAAAGAAAATACTGAAGAATGTGATAGGAATAAAGAATTGAAAACGATACTGAATAAATTCTATGAGCTGATGACGTTACTGTGCCCTGGAAAAAAATTACCGGACCTGGACACAATGGGAAGAACGCCCTTACCTATACCTTATCCAGGTTAGTTCTAATCGAGGCCACCCTTGACATGCTCAGATCATAAAATTATATTATTCGAAATGATACAAACTTTAAATTGAATTTATTATTATTTGTAGAGTATTATTATATATTATACAAAAATTACTGACATATAAAATATTTATCTTAATTTTTTACTTATTGCAGTTTCCGGAGCAGTACCCACAGCTGCGGCGAGAAAAAGTATTTTTGGTGGACCAGTTTCATCAGATGCCGATCTTTCTGATAATTCAACTGGTATTTTATTTTTCAGTTTTAAAATTTATTTATAGTAAATTCTAACTAGCTCTCTATCTTTGAGCCATTAATTTTAAAATTCATTCTGTTGGCTTTCATGCTGTCATCCTAGATTATCAGTACAGTACGTCATGAATTAACTCTTTCTAAAGTATAGTTTCTGTTAATCTAGTTATCTAATATTATTTTCATTTCTATAGGTGCAGAACGAGTTAGTTTAAATAATGTCTGTGGTTTATGTAGAGGTCGCCATGACCAACATCTACTCGCTAAATGCGACACATGTCATAAGCACTACCACTTGGCCTGCCTCAATCCTCCTCTGACTAGGATGCCCAAGAAGACAAAACTTATGGGATGGTAAGCTAAATTATTATAATTTTATAGTAATTTAAGATCATTACATGATATAATATAGTTATTTATTTTAAAGCAATTCAATGAGGTACAACTGAAAACATTTATTTTATTTATTTACTCTCCCTTCCTTGCCTTTGGGTAAAACAGGTGTCGGCAACTTTGTGGTGTATGCAAATGTTGCCAATTAACATCTAGCGGTCATGACTATAACTACTGGGAAACATGAGTTGGATAGATATAATTATGACTCCTAAAGGCATATCTTAGTTTGAGTAATCCCTCATATTGTTTTCAAGATGTTAGTGTCCCTCGTTTGATGTTTTGATAAAAGTCGCAAGTACAGGACTTACACGTCATAAAAAGTGCAAGCCTTATGACTATCCGCAGCAATATCGAAAATAGATATCTCCGAAGGAGAAGCTAACATCTTGCTGTAATAAAGAATCTTAGGTGCATTATAGCTTCTAATACAGAATTATACATTTAAGAGATGTTTCGGATATTTTTACATTGCTGAAAAGAGAACAATATTTTAGAGAACTTTAAAGTTTCAGACATTATCCAAAATTTTGTTTACTTTTTTATTATACATTAAATATGTACGCTTGTTTTATTATACTTCAATTATATTATACATTGTGATAATTTAATATTTTTCAAATCAAATCTAGGAAGACATTCCTGAGAGCTATACTCCTTATTCTACTAGGAAAAACATAGTGATAAATAAAATTTAAATTAAAAATAACGGAATGAAAGATTTAATTCAAACATTAATCCTAAAGACTTCTGAACTCAATAAGTTCTTAAAAAGTTACTCTTGGTATTTCTTTCTTCATTTATTTTAAAATTATTGATAAATCTTTAAGGGTAATAATACATCATGGGTTACGTGATTTAATTCATATGTCCTTTCTTTCTTAACCTGATTCTTATTTTTTCCTTTTTAGGCAATGTTCTGAATGTGACAAGGATTCTTCTAGTTCCGAAGTAGATATGGTCGATCCCGAAGCTCCACGAAAGTTGAGGCATAAGGATAATGGAGATAGTAGTTTAGGAGATTTCAAGGTAATTTAGTGAATAAAAAAATGTTTTTTTGTGTTAGTAAATTTAATCATGCAATATGATATAATCTTTATTGTTTACATAAAGTTCTTTCGAATGCTTAAGTATTCATTTGTGTTTAAATGCATGCACCAACTACCTATCAAATTATTAAAAAATAGATATTTTAAACCTTACTATGATTTTAATATTATTTTATTAATACTCTATTATTCTTTTTTTTTTAAGTTAAGTTCAGTATTTGTGGATAGATGTTTGTTACATAACTTACATTACCACTCAAAAAAAAAAAAGCTTTTGGAGTTTAAAAAAAAAAAATATATATATATGTATATATTGTATATTCAATATAAATTTAAATATTTTTATTGAGTTATGACTCGATATTTGTTTCAGTATGATTCCAAGGATACATCAGTAGCTGAAGATATCACAGCCCCTGCGGAAGCTGATGTATCAACAGGTAATTATTATTTTCTATTAGTAACGAGTTAATGATTTATTTGAATAATTATTTTTTCTTTGTAAATATATTAATGGAATTTAATCATTTTTCTCTCTAATTGATTCTAAAAAGTATATAGATTTGACCTGAACTCAAACTGATAGATTATTATCAATAAGTCGACCTTCAACTTTAAAAAGTGCAATATTCTTTAAAAATAATGTTGTTGAACTATCGTAATATAAATAAATATTGAGTTTTATCTTATTCATGATGCAAAATTGTAAATTACAAGATTAATTTTTAAAAAATGAATAAAGTTTCGACTTGAACGTAATATGGGTCAGTTTTTTTTTTTTATATGAATTCTACAAAATCCTTGTTAATTATTGTAAATAATTAACAATAAATAGCTAAAATTGTGGCAATTATTTATTATTTTTATTTAACAGTTTTAATTTTGGGAATTTGATCCTTCATATCACTAATCAAGTACATATCTTTTTATAATAGCCAGTAAAAGTGATGCTGATATCAGCGGTCGGCCGAAGAAACGTCGTAGGGAAAAACATCATAGATATTCCCCTGATCCTGGTAACATGAGGCCGCACAAACACAAGCATAAAAGGAGCAAGCAGCAAGAAGAACAAAGGCAAAGCCTTAAAATATGTGTAAGTTTATTTATTTATAGTTTCACATGTAATAGCTACCTAATTCCTTGTTTGATTTATAGTTTGGTCGGGGATTTTTGTAGGTTTGGTTAAAGTAACAGTAAATTATGCAAAATTCATTAGTTCTAAACTTTAATAGCTGTTTTAATTTTGATGCGATAGCTAATTTTGACAATTAAAAGAATGGACGTCTTCTTGTAAAAAAGTTTAGCTGAAGAGAAACAGTAGTAAATTACTGGTTACCGAAAGCCTTAAAATATGTGTAAGTTTATTTATTTATAGCTTCACATGTAATAGCTACCTAATTCCTTGTTTGATTTATAGTTTGGTCGGGGATTTTTGTAGGTTTGGTTAAAGTAACTGTAAATTATGCAAAATTCATTAGTTCTAAACTTTAATAGTTGTTTTAATTTTGATGTGATAGCTAATTTTGGCAATTAAAAGAATGGAAGTCTTCTTGTACAAGAGTTTAGCTGAAGAGAAACAGTACTGTTTAATCTGTTCTGTGAAGCAGTGTTCAGGTATTATCTTTATCTCGGCTGCCAATTTTTTTTCATATTTCAGTTTTCTAAATTATAATTTTTATTACTGATGCATCCTCCACTTTTTTTTTTTTTAAATATGCCTTTATCTCGGCTATTTATGGAGATGGAGCAAAATATGATTATTTTTTTTTTTTAATTATACCCAAGTCTAAGATAACGTATTATGAAGACTTGTGATCATATTGTCAGAATTACCTGGTTGTTTCTTATGAAATTTTCATTTTAAAATTAGCCGAAATAATAAGTACTTTTCTGTTTTAAATTTAATAACCTCCTTATGTACACATATTAGAGTGCTACCAGTGGGTATTTTCTCAATAAGCGTTTTCATGTGATTATTTTCGTGTGTCCACATTTACTTGATGTCTTTATATTTAATACAGTTGTAAATATTAATAAATCAATTTAAAAACATTAATAAAGATCTTGAAAAAAGTTTATTGAACTGGTGTGTAATGATGAATTTCATTTTTTGAGCATTGAAGGTTTTACTTCAGTCATGGTCGAAATGGATTATCCCATGCTTACTTATGCTTCAACATTATAGTTCTTTGTTTCCTAATTACGAATATATAAATGATTTAATAATCAATAAACTTATTCACTCATATTTTATTAGTATTAAAATCTGCCATGACATAATGCGGTATGTTCATGCCTTGTTTGGTCTTATTTTTTTTTTTATAATAAAAGTACTACTCATCTTTTTATTGACTTCATATATTTTATACATAATTTGAATATCTATTACTATTTCTATATGCGGCTCAAAAGTTAAATTTCCTGTTGCAATTTTTAAAATATTTTCTCTCATCTTAATAATTTTGATTTGCTGATATAACATTATTATAAATGAGTATATTACAGTTCAAGTCGATTCCTCATCCTACCGGCGGTGGTAGCTCATACGTGGCTACTCCAAGCTTGGGCCTAGCTCCAAAGCTTCCTCTTTCTCCTTCACAACCACAGCCTCCATTGCAGCAGCCTCCTCTCAGGTTATCAACGGGCAGTAAGAAGAAGGAGGAACCTAAGCAATTGATGTGTGTTACCTGTAATTCTCCTGGAGAACCTAATAACACCGTTGTGTATGTATTTTAATATTTTTACATTTATACTTTCTACATGTAATTATATACACCATTTTCTCAAATTGATATTGGTATCATCTAGTTGTAATCTATAATTCTTTAAAATTATCTGTATTAAAAATGTATCTGTTTTGAAATTATTTTTTTTTTTTTTTTTTTTTTTTTTTTTTTTTTTTTTTTTTTTTTTGTTCTTCCCTACCTCGCCTTTTAAGCTATACGGGATTTTCCCGGGCCGGGGGGTGAGGGCGGGGAATTTAAAATCCCCTCCGACACCGGGACGCGAACTCGTATTTTTTATATCATCTCAATTCTGTTATCCGGTTGCCAGGCAACTAGCGGTGCTGTTACACACGCTTTAGCCTATTCGGCCACCCCGCCCCCTTTTGAAATTATTTATTAATTTAAAACGTTATAACATGTTAAACATTTATGAAAACTTGTTTAAAATTAATTTTTAAATCATTATTTTGATTAAGCTCCCTACAAACTATTACCTATTATTTTGATAATATGGTTTCATCAAGTAAAAAAGGGCTTTAAAACTTTTTAATTCTAAGAAAATTTTCTTATGAAGTATTTTGTCCGACAGCCTAGGAAGTCTAGCGTATATATATTGTAAGGTTACGTTCCCTTCGAATAATAAACAAAACAGTTTCTTAATCAAATAATATTTATTTTACACGATAATTAATTCTCAGGTTGGGTTGAGACAACAAACACACATCCTTAATTACACAATATAAAAGCATACATTAATTAAACAACACTTTTATGAATTTCCATTAAGTTTGTCGGAGTCTAATCTTGGCATGCTTTTGAACTGTCACTATATATTCTCCACTCACCCTGTTCTGCAGCAACTTCTCCTCTGTACTGGTGCATTCAACTTCCACAATCTTCTACTGACACTGACTACTTCCCTCTACCTTGTTCTCCTAGATCCTCTTTACTTGCTGGCTGGTCATTTTCTGCCCTAACACATGGAACTCTTCCCCCACCATCTGTCATTCTTTCTCCATTTTTGGCAGTAGTTCGTGACGTCACTATTCAAAATCACTATGTAATATTTACATTACAATATATATACTATGATAATTGCTTTTAAAGAAAATAACGAAACTAACTACTTATATGAAATGGTATTTATGTGATTCTTAAGGTCTTATTAAACATGTTAAATGTAATTATACAAACAATAATACTTTTAGAGATGATTTTATAATTTTTTGTTATTAATCATGGTTATATTTTACCATTTTGGGAGGGCTTCAAAAAAGCTCGCCTTCCGTCCCCGTATATTCGCCTGTAATCACCACGCTTAACAGTTGTTATAAAATACTATTCTGAGGATTTCAGTAATCGAAACTTCAATATAAATCTCAGATCTATTTTATAATCAGTTATTGTCTACTGCTTCCAAAGCAAAGAAATTTTGTCTCTCGAGAACTTATCTTTTAAAGTCTTAGTTATATTCCTATTTAATTTTTCACAATTTTAGACATTATTATTATTATTTATAGTTTAATTGAACTTTACGTTTTAGGTGTGATGAATGTCTTCTGGGTTTCCACTTCCACTGCCTTGACCCACCTGTTAAGAAGTCGCCTAAAGTGAGGGGTTATTCATGGCACTGTGCAAATTGTGACCCAACTGTAAGTATATGAATCGAGTGTGTTGTGTATTTTTGAAATTTACAAACTGCGTCGGATTTTTAATTGACACAGCTTTGATAAACTAATATTCGAACAACACTTTTCGATAAATCGAGTTTTTTGTTGTTGAAAAGAAAAACAAAAAAATCAATTTTTATATCATGATCCACGCTAGTTATCTTCAGTTTTAATTTATTAATAGAATTCTTGAGGGTATGACCAGTGTACTTCAATACATGTTTTAAAAAACTCGTAAGACTATCACTGATCAGAAATAGAGAATATACAGTAAAAGTTGATGCCCCTATGAATGAACCAAAAGAATTTCTTCATGACTACGTCCATTACAACTTCTACTAAAATAATTCTTCATTGCAATGCCCGGCCACATACTTGTTGGAAACCTTAAAAAAAATTAAACTTTTAACTCATCGATCTTATTCATTAACTTGCTTCCGATTGCCATTTTTTCAAAATGCTAGAAACATGATATCCCCATATGTATATTGATTCCAAGCCAAGAATTTCTTTCCTACAAGGGGTATAAAAAAAAACCTTGTTAGATGTCAGAAGAAATGTATTGAGACTAACGAAAGTTATTTTGAATGAAATTAGCAGCATTAATTATTTTTTATAATGTTACCTAACTACTAGGAGCAAGATTTCATATGTTCCTAATCAGTACTACTTGGCACAAGATAAAACGAACATTATTTTTAGTCTTAATTAGATACTTATTTTAATTATATTATAATTAGATACTTATTTTACCAATTTGATAACAATAAATTATAAATATTTCTTTTAAGTGTATCATTAGTTGTATTAATTTCTTCTTTTTTTTTTGTTTTGTTTCAGGAAAGTGAATAGTTTATACATTTTAATTTTTATTAAAATACGCAGTACTTCGTAAAGGAAGCTATATTTTGTATTTCTTTTTTTTTTTTATAAAATAGTCTTACTTAAAAAATATAGTTTTTTCTTTTTTTTCGTACTTTACAAAATATTTTATTATCTGAACTATTGTATTGTATATTGATGTGATTAAGAAATGCCATGTTAATGTATTTATGCTGAAGAGTGTAATTATGCTGGCAAAACCAGTGGTATTATTTAATGACAAATATGTTATTATTAAATATATTTTAATAATAATTCTTTTTTAAATTAATTTGTTTCCTTTTATTAACTTTCAAACATGACTTGTCTTATGTTGATTGAATTTTCCCCCTATTCTTGAATGTTTAAGTGAGTTAAATATCTAGGACTTGTTAAAATTATAGAAAATATAATAGAAATAAGAGCCACATATAACAACCAATTTTATATATTTTTCTGTATTTGTTTTTGTTATTAAGTATGCAGGAAAAATTATCTATTATTTTATACTATTATACAATTATTTTATCTATCATTTTATCTCTTACCATTTCTCGGTTCTGGACCACAGAATCACAGATTTTCTGTATCTTCTTAATGTTCAAGTCAAGTAAGTTGAGTATAATTATATAACATTAAAGTGATCATATATTTACAAATAAATGTAAATAAAAACCATCAGGCCAAAACATGAAGTTGTTTGAGCTATATTAACAATAAGTTGATTAAAGATGTGCCAAATCGTTTTCAAAATCCGAAGTTTTCTGTTTACACATATTACAATAAACAAAAAAAAAAAAAAACTAAAAAATAAGGGATAAAAGAAGTATTTACATAACTGTACAGATATAGTGAGACATAATATGAGCAATAAGGTCCTAATACTACAAAATAGTTGCTATACACAATAAGTTATGGAATTATAAATGAGCGACAAATAACGTTTGTTGTCATGCAATTTTATTAATGAAGAAAAATAATAATAAAGGAGTGGATAAATATTTACTTTAAATGATTTACATATGTATCTTAGTATGTTCGAAGAAGACAATAATAGTATTGTAAACATTATACAAGTTCTATATAATCTAAATCCTATGATGTTGATTGATTGGAGAAAAGAAAATTGATAATATACATATATGATATACATTATAAATGGATACCCAGCATCTGATTGAATTGTAAGGAGGAATTGGAATAAGAGGGTTTTAAATGTGGATAAGGATGGTGCATGGCGGATTTTAAGTGGGATGGAATTTCAAAATGTGGTGGAGCGGACAATAAAGGAGTGTTGAAATGAGGCCGATTTGTGGAAAGGGGTATAAAGGTCGGAAGGATGAGATCTTGTGAAGAGGGAGTGGATAGATGACTTGAATTGAAGGAGATTGAGTGCGTAGGACGGACGATGATTATAGATTATTTGGTAAAGGAATGTACCTAGGAAATACTGTCTTCTGAAGGAGGGAAAGAGCCACCCTAACTCGGCGTAGTAGTGGGAAACATGAGAATGTCTCGGGGTCCCATTGACAAATCGTACTAAGTCATTCATTATTCTTTTCAGTCGTGTCTCCAAGTTCCGATGAGAGGCCACCGTACACTACGCAGCCATAGTCAATGTGGGGGAAGATGAGGGCGGATACTAGGAGTCTACGTGTGGATGTGGGTAGGAGATGGCGGAAGCGATGGAAGAGTTTCAGGATAGAAATTGAATGTCGGGATGTGGGGGAAATTTGGTGATTCCAGAAGAGGGTTTGATCTATGATAACACCTAAGTTTTTAACTGAAGTGTTGAAGGTGATGGGTTGGTCATTTAGGTACAGCAGAGGAATGTTGGTATTGGATCTGAGAAGGGGTTTGGAACCAATGACAATGGCTTGGGTTTTAGCAGCGTTTAACCTTAATCCATTTTCACTTGCCCAGGCACAAATCCGATTTAGGTCTTCTTGTATTTTGGCAAACGCATCATGCCATTCAGAGGGAGCAAAGGAGAGGTAAATTTGGGAATCATCGGCATAAAGGTGATGGGAACACACATATATATATATATATATATATATATATATATATATATATATATATATATATATATATATATATATATATATCTATATATACATATGCGGTTTTCATAAATACTATTGTTGGTATTATTTAATATTTAATTATATAGATTACAGCGATGTCAAAATTAAAATTTTTCTATATAAGGGTATTTAAACAAATAAAAATACCCACAATGAAATTTAAATAAATATAGCGTCTATAATTTTTACTTTCACTTCCCCTTTGTCTGAAAATACTTATTTCTGCTAAAAAGAGTGTGGTAAGTGAAAGCTGTATGATGTGCGCACCAGATTTTTTTATATTAGATTAGGTTTCTTCTCTTGAAAATGGCCTAAGGGCTGAAATGTTGAATGTTAAGTAAAAATAAAATAGGACTATTTGGATCTAAAGTATATTGAATTTTTATGCAAGAAAAAACATTTATATATGGAATCAAAGCAGAACACGAACATGAAGAAAAACCAGAACACGAAGGAAGTCCTAAAATAATTTTTAAATATGCTATGGTCTACGGTTTCTTGGACCATCATTGTTAAAGCTTGAGACATCGGTGTACATTAACTCCATCGTTTATAATCTTCATAATTTTGGAAAGAGTTCTGTACACTGAACCTCCCTTGCTAAGTGATAAACATTTTGGGATTCCTAAGAAAAATTTCAACTATGAGACTAACCAAAACTTTGTTTTTAAATATGTTAAGATTATTTTAAACTGTCATTTCCAAAATCTTGCAGTTATATATTTTAAGACCTTGAAGCCTTTATTATCCTAGATCGTATGCGATCGCATACTGCGTCAACCGCTTGCTTTTATTGACCAGTGTCAATGCTTTTATAGACTTTTTGTTATTGTTAGGCATCCATAATAACTGGTGATATAATAATATCTTTAACTCGATTTAAAAGAAAAAAGGTTTTCAGCAGAATAATAAAATAAATACCAATTTTTGGGGGCCCTCGATGATTGGTGACAAGCCAATCAGATTGCACTCCCGGCTTACCATGGGAAATTCATTATCCCTTAGTTATTGTGTTCATTATCACAGAAAAAAAATAAAAATAAGATTCGTTAAACATGAACTGAAGGAACTATTAACCTAAGGAAACTACTAATTTCTTACATGGAATTCGTAAGGTTACATTCATAACATCACTCCCTTGAAGTGATGTCTACCGTAATAATATGGATTTTTGAACTACTTACCTTATGTTTTGTCAAACACTGCATTCTTATTTTTCATCAGTTATTGGATTAACTGTAATTTAGTCTAGTCATCAATTTTTAATCTTAATCAAGATATTTTACATTCATAATTATCAGTTTGTAATCTTGTGGGTTGATACTCTCAAACTTATTGGATATTTCTTTCTCTGAAATTTTGAATCTAACATGAAGATTTTTTTTAATATTGCTTTAGCTAGCTATACACCTATATGATAATTATAAATATCAGTACTTGAGGATAATGGAAAATAATATTCAAATATGACATCAGGACGACATTATTTCATGGTAGCTCAAATAATAGAACATACTTATCTTTCACATACAATAGAGTAATTGAATTGGCATTAAATTACTGAAAGTATGTTTAGAAGTAAACATGTAAGAGCCTAATTATGGATTTAACCTACTTTAGAATTGGAAATATTTTCTTAAACAATCCATTGTCAAGGTAACATAAAAAAAAAAAAAAAAAAATGCAATAAACAAAAAATAGCATTTCAACAACTACATACATAGATCTATTAATTTAGTTAATGTTTAAACACTACTTTTATAAAAGGTGGGTAATATTTTTTATTGAATCTAAATCTATCAGCTGGGATAATAACCTATACATGTTCAAAGAATAATACAATAAATTTATTGAGGGTAACAAAGAGAATTACAATGTACCAAACTATAAATAAAAAAAAGTCCAAACAAAGAGAAAGAGAAGATGCGATGAGAAAAATGCCATCAGATGTTATAATGCAAAGGAATTTTAAATTGAAATACATGAATAATAACCAGATAATAAATGAATCTAAACTTTGTCTAATACGTGATGATGAAAAACCAAAACCATCAACAGCAAAATGGAAATGGCGTTCAATAGATGAAGAGGGCCCATTTGCTCGCAGTACACCAGTCACACTGGAATTCAGCAGCCCACATATGAGGCAGGTTTACATGCGAAGTCAAGGAAATATTGACAACTTTTCACTAAAACATTTCAGGTATACGGTCAATGAAATAAAAGACAATTTTGTCGAAATTGAGACTAGAGTAAAACAAGAACATATAAAACCTTGTTTAGATATTATTAAGGATACTAAATCTCTCATAAGAGATGTTTTGGTGCATTCGGTGGAGCTTATGACAAAAACAAAAGTCAAAGATGTTATAATTAAAGTTATATAATTATTATAAAACTTTATTTCATTTTAATATATATATCATACATAATGTACACATATTTACATATATAAATTAAATAGAATAAAAAAATATTTCATAAATTTACCTTTTTTTTTATTACTATGACAATAAAACAAATATTCATAGGAAATAAGTACGAGATCTATCTTGTAAACCAACTTTGTTTGAACAGTATCATTAACATTGCGGGGAATGAGATGCAATTTTAAAACTAAATAATCAAATATTTCCATAAAAATAGAATCACAGAAAACAAAAATGAACAAAAGTTTTGGTTGTATACTTTGATTTAAGAATTATTTTATTCTTAATCATAAAATTAAATACTCAAACATATATATTTTTTTAAATCACACATTTACTAGGTAAAGAGTTATACCACTTAAAATTAAAAATTCGAAGCAATCTTAAACAAATAAAAAACTCAGAAATAATAATATAAAAGTGCTATTTTTCAGTTGAATAATGTATGCAACCAATTCATTTTTTGGTTAAAATTTAGAACATAAAGTACATAAGAAAATTGTATTTATTTTCTTAATTAAAGAAAAACATTACATACTCATTACAGAATATTCTATCAGTTACAATCACTAAGTATAATATGTAGTAAGGGAAAAAGTATTTGAACAACTCATTTTCTGGAAGAATTTAAGTTTTTTAGTAAGCGCTAACAATTTAAAAAAAGTACTTAAAATTATTTAAGTTAAAGCAATAAAATACATTGGTTTGAAGAGCCAGAATTGTAACTTGAAGAAGCCACTGCTTTTATGGAATTTAGTTAAAAGTAATTGCTATATGCGCAGTAAAAAATAAAACACACGTTTAATAATTTTTATTGTGTACCAACTTTGTATAGACCTTCTTTATGATAAAAAGAGTGAGTGAGATCAACCTTGCGTCAACTTTTATGATGAATAACTATCATAATATTTTATCTAAATACTTATTATGTGAGTCACTTATTTTCGAAGTAAATCCTAATAATTATTAACAAAATTTAACTTAAAAAATAATTAAAATTTAATAAAACACGAACCACTTTCTTTTCTACTTCAACTGTAATATCAAAACCAATATTTAAAATAAATAAATTAAGAAATGCTTTATTTGTAGAATATATTTCCGACAATCATTCATCAATTAAGCTATAATTAAAAAATATTGAAACTTAAATGGTAAGAGTCTTAAAGAGAAAAAATAGCATATGTGATTCTTAAGGAAAAATTTATTAAAAAATGTACTATAAAAAATTAACTTTTTGTTTACAATAATGGTCTACTAAAGTAAATTTATTTTAATTTTTATTTGGATAAAATAGTTTAAAAAAGTCTTTGATGATATATATATATTTTAAAGAATAAGTTACATTCCTTAAAAAATAATTAGGTTTGTTTTTGAAAAGAAAAAAAAAATGCATCATCTGATTCATTGGGTGTTTTTACATGGGAATCGATACTGCTTTCAATTTCCATATGAATCGATTAAGGTTCACTTTGGAAATGAGAGACTCATATTATATATAATTATGGTGAAAAAAAGAAAGAAAGTATATTGTAGATTTTTATAAAAGAAGTTGATTAGGAATCGCAGTCAATAATAATTATTTATATATATATATTATTATTATTATTCATCTCCCACTCCCCTGATGAGCTCATCTCATCCCATTCTTTTCTCCCAGAAGGCCACAACTTTACACATTTAACAATAAAAATATATAGCAAGAAAGATGTAATCATGTCTTATTTTTTTTTAATGCAAAAATATAACACAATCAATAAAATCTGAAAGAATAACAAAAAATAAGTTAAATTTATGAAGAAAAAAAAAAAAACAGTTGCCATGTGTTATCATATTAGTCAAGTCTTCTTATATGTCTCTCGACAACTTATTACCTGCCTTTAATATTTCAACCTACATTTGATTAAAAATTGATGGAGCTTGATAAAATTTGAAAAGAAAAGAGGAAACAAAACATATGAAACGAGACATAGAGGAATTTACCTACTGATGCTTCAAAAAATTTAGTTTAATCCATGATAAAGTTCAAATACTTTTCCCCCCTTTCAAAAATCGCTTTACAGTGATTCACTAAATCTAGGTGTCTACTTTCATCTTAAATAGGTTTATTTTTCAGAAATAATGAGTTTATATTATATTTTTCCCTCATGCTACATAAATTTTTCAAATTCATTAAAATTTAAGAGAAACAAATAAATTTAACTTTAAACAGTAGAAAAAAGTTTTAAGAATATGCAAAATAGGTCGAATATATATGGCACATAAACAAAAAAAGAAATTAAAATTTTAATAATACTTACACGTGTAATTTTTGTACAGCTTTTTTAACCTTATATAGCAGTAACTCAATAAATACATGTACACTTATAAATATAATTCAAACCTTTTTATATTTAGTTTATTAGATGTAGCATTTTATTTACAATGTTAGTTTAGTCTGGTTATTCAAAATGTATTTTAAAAAATGGAATTCAAATATAAGTGTTATCAAGGAGTTCTTCCCATCTGATAGTTGTCTGGAAAACTTCTTGCTGTAGCCATAGTTGATAATGTTTTTTAAATTCATCAGTGAGTTCAATTGACTGACCGAGCACGGACTGTGTGCAATTATCAACAGGTTCATAATCTGGATCAATGTTATTTCCATACCGTCGAGTATTAAATCTATCAACAGAAGACCTTAGGGCACATTCTTCGGCCTGAAAATCCCAAGGGCGAGCGTCTAGATCGTTCCCATAAGCCCAGTCATCATTCAACCTATGCCTAACCTTCTGATAAATAGCACTCATTGTTTTCATATTGGATTTCCTCCACTGTCTTCCTAAATATTTAGTTTGCATTTTAAGTAGTTTAAGAACATATAATTGCATCATAGCATGTCTTACTTTGAGTGTCCGTTTCAATATTGGAGCGGACTTAAAAACAACAAGCATCATTATGCGCGAATGCTTCCATTTAGTAAGTTTATTAAGAATCCTAAGGAGGTTAATGCACGAAAATAAATTTCTCCAAGAGTACTGTTGATTATCTCCTATTTCTAGACTTTCGACAGTCAATTCAGGCTGGTCACCAATAACACATGATGGGAAATCGAGAATAGGAATGGCATTTTTTGCTCCAACATAAGCCATTATGTTTTGGTTGAAAAATTTTAGTACAAGAGGAATGCAGTTAGCAAAAACTAAATGTTGTGACATGAATTCAAATTGATATACATGATTTAATTTAAAATGCTTAAGCAATAGCAAAAGAATTCCAGATACTGCTTTGACAATTATTTCTTTATGCCTATTAACATCAATACCAAGCTTCATTGACTGTAACACAGTTGTAGGCATTTGGATAGGGATGACATCTGATAAAATGTTGATAGAATCAGTTTTTGCTTTAGAAGTAGGTGCTGCCGCAAGTAAAATTTTCAGTAATGCTATCATATACTGCGGAAGGTTAGGGAACATGGCTTGATAGAGCATTTCAGCAGGGGTCACTTTTATAGGTCCTTCACATTTAGAAATAGGATTTTTCGCTAGTTCTTCTTCTAAACTGATTTGAACTTCAGATAATGACCTATACATATGCTGTTTCAAAACTCTAACTCCTTCATGAATTGGTTCTGGTAAGCCAAATAATGATTCTCTATCTCCTTCAAGAGGAAAACCAACAAATTTTATCCGAGTATTTTCTAAAAATGAATCCAGATCCTTTTGCCTTACTTTAGGTTGCCAAGGAAGACCTTTGGCTTTGCATGGGACAGGAGTATCAGGTCTACTTGTAGGTAATGGTTCCTCCATTGGTCGTTCCTCATATTCCCTCATTTCGTCTTCAGCTTCTAAGGATTCCAATTCCATAGGTTCATCAAGGGAACTCTGTTTTATCAAACTTCTTCTCAATAGTCTGCCATGTCTTTTCTGATTCTGATTTTCTATCAATTCGGCAGCACTAGCAGGTGGTGAAGAAGCTCTCATATTACGAACTACTTCCATGGTGTCTTCCTCCATAGTTTCTAAACCAGCTTCTTTTCGATAATCATACTTTAACTTCCTTAATACATCACTTCCACCAAGGCAAACTAAAATAGATTTCCATAGTAACAACAAAACTTTCTTCATAGGAAAATGAGGAGCAGATCCACTACAAAATCTGGTGACCATTCCAAACAGCTTAATAATCAGCATTTCATCGCACACTAATTGTAAAAGATCATGTCTTAGTGCTTCAATATATTTTTCATACAAATCAAAATCTTCTTCTTGTAGAGACCGAATAACTTCAACAATAATATATAAAACACTTAAAATAACTCTGAGATCAGTGGAATCTGCTAAGCTGACATCAAATTTAGGCATAGCTGAAGATGCTGGGGATGTACTATCTATTTCAATATTCAATAATTCTATAAAAGCATGAAAAACACCTTCATTATAAAGAAGTAGAACATTATCTCTTGTACATAGAATTTGTTCCTTATCTGATTGCACCTCAGCCCAGCAGCCTTGTGCGAGATATAAAAAGCATCTGGCAGACTGCATTCTAAGGCGTGAATCTGATACCTCCATTTGATCAAGCAATTTTGCAATGACTGATTTCTTCTTATCTAATGTCAATTTCTGCCACAAAGGAGGTAGATTATATTTTTCCATTTGGTCCTCAAAAGCTTTGACATTTAACTGAAATTCTGGTTGTTCTGTATAGCTGTACAATTCAGCAATTTCATTTAAATGAGAATCGGAATCATCATAAACGAAATCTAAATCAGGGCAATCAGGTCCTGAATCTGAATCTTGACGTTGGCGTCGACAAATATCTCTTAATTTAGGTAGACCCCTTTTCCCATTACCATTGGCATCAACATTCATAACCCTTAATTCAGCATCAGGCTGCAAAGGTAATTGCTGTTGCTGCTGCATTTCTTGAAATATTAACTACTGACACAAAAACAAAACTTCATTCAGTTTTTAAGTTATGTCCATTAGGGACTCAAGTTCTCCACCAAAGTAGGTTGCTCTTCATTCCTCTTATAACTTTAAAATTTAGCAATGACTACAGTATTAGGAAATTTATGTAAAATTAAATAAACATTTTGTACCAGTTACTTGAGAGTCAACTAATTAGGAAATCAATAACTGTTTTATTAAATGCAATGAATACTGAAACTTTTAACCTACAACGATTTGTCATTTTAAAAAAATATTAGTCAAATATCACAACCAAACATCTCTTCTGAACGCATAATTCATATGAAAATTTTCAATGAAGGAAACAAACATCAACTGCGAGGGCAACTAGATACAACACTACAATCTCTCCATTGATAAAATACTATGCTACATCGATCACATCGTATCTCTGCAAACATTATTAAAAATCAACATAATATTTGTATGAAAAAGAATTCGGAAAAATAAATAATTTAAATATAACAAAAACCTCAAAGTTTACCTTTCTCTATAATTTCAATAATAATAATAATAATGTAAAGAGAGGTTGTGCTACTGCAGGTTGTGTTGACGTTTGATTCTCGTGTTTGAAGTTATGTTGTGTTAACTTGTTCAATCTAATTATTAAATAATATTTAATGTCTTAAAATGCCGCTGTCATTAAATGATAAAATGGAAGATAAGAAAAAAGTTTCTCAAAGTGAATTGAGGAGATTTATGTCTGCTCACAAAAGAAAAGCATCAGAAAATACAAAGAAAATTGAATCACCTTTGGCAAAATATCCTTTCATTACATTATTTAGTTCTGATATGTATCATTTATGGAAGTTTCATTATATTTATGTCTATTCTTTAAAATTAATCTTAATTTACAATTTACTTTTGATTCATTTAATCAATTTCTATGTAGTTATCCTTAACTAGCAGTGCACATATTCAGATAGTGGGGAACTGACTTGTATCGCCTGCAATTCTGTGGTGAAAACAGAAGCGATATGGGGTGTTCATATTAATTCGAAGAAACATAAAGAGAATATAAAGAAGCCTCTTGTCCAAGTTTCTGCTCCTCCTATATCTCTTAGTTCTGAAAAAGTTTTACCTCCAGTTGAAGTCAAAAAGACCAAAAGTAAGTTCATGTATAATTTATAGTTCAAATATTCTAAATAATAGTGATGTGTTAATTTTCATTATTTGAAGAAATTGAATTTAAAATTTCCTGGAAGCATTAAATAGAAACGCATTATCAATTAAAAAAAAAAAGGTATTATCTATTATTACTAATTTGTTTTAAAAATGACTTGAATGTACTTACTTCCTCCTCCCCCTCTCTCTTCATATATACACTGACAGGCCAAAAATTCCACCCACTTGATTTTTTCATGTTTTCATCTAAAAATATTTCTGCTTTGGATTGGTCTATTGTTTTTAATGAATAAATAGGCAATCTTTTTGTTTGTTTTCAATTAGGAATGTTAATATTGAGGACAATAACCCTTAATCCTTAATTCAATGAAATGATTCTAGATTCCAATGTTTACTTTCTATGGAATCAAAATGTTTATTCAGTATCATTAGTTCAGTGCCGTTTCTTGCAGCACATTTCTTAGTCTCCGGCTTTTAATTTTTTCAATATTAAGTTTACAAATGCCTCTTAGTGCTGAGGATGTTGCGCGTGGTGTGGCACTTATTGATGATGGACGTTCCATTAGATATGCAGCTAATGCCGTCGGAGTTCCATATGAAACTTTTCGAGACGCCGTCATGCGTTTTCGGGAAACTGGTTCTGGACGGCCTAGGGTAACAGAACCACGGAATGACCGGTTTTTGACTTTGAGAATTTTACGAAACCGTCACCTTACTGTTGTTCAAGCGATTCATCAGCTCGAAGAAGTTCGAGGTGTGCAAATTTCTGAACGTACCGCTCGGAGAAGATTAAATGAGTATGGATTAATGGCTTTTCGTCCAGTAAGAGGACCAGAGTTGACCAGAACTCACAGAGTAACACGGCTGGCTTTTGCGCGAGAACACAGCCATTGGACTATGGACGAATGGAGTGCTGTACTTTTTACAGATGAGTCAAGATTCGCTCTTCGATCTCCAGATGGGCGTGAAAGGGTGTGGAGAAGTAGAAACGAAAGATATGCAGCCTATAATTTTTCCCAGAGCCAACCTTTCCAATGTGGTTCCTTAATGGGTAACAAGTAAGTGGAATTTTTTGCCTGTCAGTGTATATTAAAAGTAGTTGATGACGAATAATGAAGTTTACTATATTATTTTTCTCTGTGTACCAAATTTTTAAATAAATATTTTTTATCTTTTATATTGCTGTTTTAATTTTTTTATATAAGTTTATTATAGTCATCATAACTTAAGTTTATTATGTTGAGTATATTAAATGATATAAGTATATTATATACATTATACATTTAGTATGTTAAAGTAATTTTCGCTTTTGACTGAAAAAATTTCATGCTTTATATTGATTCCAGGTATACTGAAAAATGCTCGACCATTACCTCCTAAATTTTTTGATGACATTAAAACTGAACAGGACGATGATGAAACACCAAAAAAAAAGGTAAAACTTGAAGTTGATTCTGAAAATAATGAAGTTTCTATGGATGAAGGAGAAGCTGCTGCCGCTGAAGAATCAAAAGATCATGAATTACCTGAAGGTTTTTTTGATGACCCAGTGTTAGATGCAAAGGTAACTTTTCTATTTTATTGTGCTACTTATTTTTATGAAGATTTTTACAACATATCGTCTGTATATTGCTAAAAATCATTAAGTTACTTTTCATAACCTTAATTCACTAAGAACTTCAATGAATTTTCTCTTTGTAAAATCAAAACATTGTGCTCTTGTACAATGTTTGATATATAAACATTGTACTATATTTGATATATAAAAGATATTCTTTCGTTTATCATTTGATGCATATCTTGAGTTTTTTAATTGATAAATAAGGTAGAAATCAACAAAATCATTCTTAAAAGTTTAGTTCTGTCAAAGATGCACTTAGTTAGTTTTGCCATAAAACCACAGTATATTTAAAAAAAGTAAAAGTGATTTGTTATTGTTTTTATTTTGAAGTTGTCAAGATTAATACAGAGAGTTGTTGGTAAATTAACAATTCTATATAATTAATATTTTATTTCATGAAATCACGTTAACTACTATTGTGATGTTTTATGGTCTTGTCTCCATTATCAAATTGCAATATATTCTCAATTTAGTCATTATTCTATTTACAATATTATATATATATACAGTTTAATCATCAGTAATATAATTTTGTCATTATTGATTTATAATTTCTTTAACAATACATAGAGATGGTTTTACTAATTCACTCTATCTATTAAGTACAGGGAAGAGAGTAAGGCAAAAAATGTCTTGAAGAATTGTGCAGTTTCTTTTTTGTGGAATATATTGACAAATTATACTGCTCTGAGTAGGCTGCAGGACCAAACGGATATTAGACTAACTTCTAGAGAGTTGATGAGTATGATAGTCCAAGTTTAAGCTTCTTCATCATTATTTTCTTTTAATTTTCTCTTATTGTGATTCTTTTCTCCCATGCGACTGCTTCTTTGGTAGCACCAGCCAGTCTTAAGAAAAGAACAGTTAAAAGAAATATTAATATACTTATTATGTCATAAACTTTAAATTTTTGTTTTTATCAAGGCACGTAATGTCGAATACAAGGATCCTGTGGAGGAAGAATGGGAGCGCTTTCAAAAAGAAATTAAAGAAGAAACTGATCTCTCGGCTAGAATGATAAATGACGATACTGAAGATGCAACTGTCCAGCGTCAGATAGAGCAAATAGATGAGCAGATGACTAGATTATCAAAGTTAGTGTGTTCAAATATTGGTTTTTAATTAAATTTTATTATAAGTAAAAAATCAAAGATTGGTTTTTAATTTAATTTTATTATCAATTTATTGTAAGTAAAAAAAATTGTCAAAAGATCTCAATTTATACTTTCACAATTCAACTTTAACATTTTAAAATAAAATCATCAGAAACACTTTGAATTGAAAATATAAAACAAAAATTGACTTTTTCCCCACTTTCTGAAAATGACAGATGCCCGTGTTTGATATGATGCTACTCTTATATTTTGCTATAAATCAAACTAAAATTAAATTCATATCAATAAAAATTGCTCTCATACCTTTAGGGTATGTAATGTTATTCCTATTACTTTTTAACATCACAAATTCATGATGGGTTATGATTATTTGTTTGAAAAATTAAATATTCATGAAAAACAAACCCTTTTTTATACACAAATTGATATAGATTAAAATTTTAACTAATAAAGAGGTTATCTGGCATAATCTTAAATTTTAGAGTGACAACATTAAGTTATCTGAAAATGGTTGTATTTGCTTTAATCATAAATTAATATATTAAACTGTTATAATTACTGAAGGACAGTTCAAATTTGTTAAAGCGCAAAGTAATTCGTATGAGGTTTTGATAATATTATTGATTTTAGGGTCGTCCAATTAGAAATAAAGAAAGAAGAAGTGAAAGCAAAACTATTAAATAGGATGGAAGTTGTGAAAAAAGAAGAACCTGAAAGTGATGAGAGTGATGTTTCAGATATGGAAGGAGAATTTGATTGGCGAGCCAAGCGTTACCTTTGCTAACTTTTTTATTTTTTGTGTCTTCGGAAGTTATAGAAGTGATAATCTATAATGCTTTACAGTAATCATGCTTCGGCCATATCAATAAATTACATCATGAGCATTAAGACTGATAAATGTTGCAAATTTAAAATTATTATTATAAGTTGTTTATGTCATAAATGACACTAAAATATGTATGCATCATTAAAATGTGTTAACTTTTGAATTTGTACACGGTATAAACATTTTCTGCTTCATTAAATGACAAAGGAAAATAAAGAAAGGAATATTTGTTGTTAAAAACTTATTTTCATGTAAAAATGTAATTAGAGACATTTTTTTATTTATTTTATTTTTTTTACACAATTAGGGATCCTGGTTAATCAGTGTAATGTTTGTAACTGATTGTCTTTCTAGATCATTAAAAATTGTATATTGTAATAATGTTTTGAATAAATTAAGTGGTTTGTATATAATTATGTATATAGATATGCCAAAGAAAAATAAAATAATTTAACTTTATTTTAATTCAGATTTTTTTTACTTACCTTTGTATTTAATAATTAAATCATATAGCAGTTTTATAGGAGAGCATCGATTAGTGATGTATTGTCTATTGAATTTTATTTAACCATTCTTAACATACCTCCATCATTTTTATCATATAATTTTCAGTTTGTCAGGTTGTTGGGCAGTGCACTGTATGACTCATTAGTATCCTGTATGTATATTTTTAATTGCATTGAAACACAAACCCTTTTTTTTAACCTGTACCACTGCAACCCATGAAGGGTCTTGGGTTCAGCACTATTTAGGGAAAGCACTGTTTCTTGGTCTACGGCTGTGCAAGGAGGTGATTTGACAGAGACCACACTCAACCACCAGGCTTTTCCGTTTAATCAATTATTTTAATTAAGTGAACTTTACAGAGGTTGGGTGTGACCCAGGAGGGTCTATCTACCCAGGGTCGTCCCACGTCCAATGAAACAGAATAAATAATTTTTCTGCCATGAGCCGGGATTCGAACCTGGAACCTTTAGGATTGGAAGCTCAGTACCCTACCACTGAGCTACCCCACTACACAAACTCTTAAATATCTCAATTTAAGAATAAATATACTTTCAAAATAAATGGCTTATATATTATAATTTATCATGGTAGAAATTCAATTGATGGCGATAAAATCATAACTATAAATTAGTATTAATAATTTTGACCAAATAGTACAGGAGTACTTGAGAGAAAATTGGCAGGATTAATGTCAATAGATTGTTAAATTGTATGCCACAAGGTTAAAGAAAATTGTAATTTATTATTCCATAAGAAATATTAAAACCCAATGTCTGAAATAATAAAAATAAAAAGTAAACAATTAATTTTAATTATTTGGAAATAACTAAATGCTAGATTTACATCAAATTTTTACAGCTTGGATTTGTTTTTAGTTCAATTTTGTTTGTCATCATAACTCTTGGTCTTATTTAGTTTATACAGTAAATAAAAGCTTGTATCAGTTACATTTAAAATGATGAATGTTGGGAAATACTAAAATATGGTAATAAACATTTCATAATTAAATATTTTATTATGAATTACAAGTAAATGAGTACATGATTATAAGATACTTGACTATGACTAAGTAAGAATTATTTAAATAGATAATATAAGGTCATATGAAAAATGTTAATAGTAAATATATATTTAAAACCTATAATATAAGTTCTCACTACTTAGCTTTCTTAATTCATTAGCAAAGATTAGTCGATAAGATCTAGAATAAGTAAATAGTTAAACATAAATAAGAAAGTGCAGAAACACCCATTCACAATGTTTTTAATCTTACAAGACTGATGTGCGTTGAAAGTTAACAAAGCAAAAAGTTTTAAAAATTTAAATATATTTTATCTAAATTTGCAAACCACTTGAACTTCCTCCGATCCCGTATAAGACCATTTTCTAGTTGTAAGGCAATTATGATTCTTTTGATTGGCACAAACTATAAAAAATATCAATATTGAAAAAAAAGCTCTAGAGGTCTTTTTAAAATATTGTGCTATTCACCGTCCCAGTCTGGACTCCGACTTTTAGGTTATCCACTTTTTTTATTTCGCAACGCTCCAAATCCTCATAGAAAAAATCTTACTCGAATGCACACATATTATTTAAAATATTCACAGTTTTAGCTTCATATATTTTTCAATTGAGCAGCGTAAAGATAATTAATTTTAATTATTATACCTAAGAGTGCAAATGTTTTTTTTTAGATCTCATTGAACACCATTAACAATATAAAATTCTTTTAAATTGTATTAGTTTAATCCACGAAAAAGTTTTGTGTCCTTTCACCAACCAGAGTAACCTTCCCTTAGCTTCTCTGGTTGCCCATCACTGGGAGAAGCTTTTATGGAATAGATAACCCTGGAACAATTATCCATTGCAAGAAAGCTTCCTCTCATCTCATTCCTTAGTACCTTAAAGTTTAAAAAGTGATAAAAAAACATCGAATGAGAAAAAGGAATTATTAAGTACTTAAATATTAATGTTTAAAATACACATTTTTAAAAATAAATTAAGCATTTTAAGCAAAAGCTTCTAAGAAGGATTTGGTGCTTAAGAATTTTTAATTAGGAAATGGTGCTTTTTTTTTTTCTTCTCGATTTTAAGATTAAATTAACTATCATTAGATTATTATTATTTAAATAGTATCAATTGTTTTTTATTGTTGTACTCCATAGAATGCGAAGGCACTAAAAGAATTGAAACAAAAATGAATACATAGAGGGTTCTATTTAAGCAACGGAAAAAGAGGTTGGTTTAGATTACTTTTATTAATTGGTTTTACCTAAAAGCCAAAGTTTTTTTTCTATGGGACCCAGCCAATTTAGAATTATCTAAAGTAGAACTTTACATTTTTTTTTTTTTTTTTTAACAATTGAATTCTACTTATCAGGTCTATTTCACTAAGTTTTTAAATCTATTTTAGTAATTATAGACCCCTCTTTAATAGAAATTGCTAAATTCCTTTATCTTTATTAATGTATTCATTTTATTGTTAACTTACAATACTCTAGCATTTAGAAAAAAATCCTAACATTTAAAATTCAATACATTACATCTACAAACTATAAGAAGTGTCGAAATAAATGGTGAGTTCCTTATTAGAAGTATGAAAAAGTATTCCTTACAATAATAGAAGATATACAAATTAGAAAATAGTTCTAAATATAAATATTTATTTCTTATATAATTTATGCTTGAAATATGAAATTTTTATGAAGTATCAGAGGCGATTAAGCTTCTCCTAGGTGTGCCCAAGTGCTAATTTAGTTAATGGCTGGTCCCAAAGGCTTATGTTTATTTTACAAAAGCTGCTGTGACAGACGGATCCATGATAGTATTAAGCTTGTACTGCTGAAAAAAAAAAGAAGACAATTATTAACGTTTGAGTAAAATGTGGAAAATATAGATTCATCAGTATAACTTCTTAATTTTAACAGCCTTTATGATATTATCATATTAAATTGTATTACTATAACTATATAATCAGTAATGGACATACTACAGACTGTTAATGGAAATTTGGAGAAAATACGGTAAGAAATTTTAGGCTAAAACGTCAGTACTTAAAATATTTTACTGGCCACACATCCAAATATCATTGAAGGGTATTAAGGGAGGAAAACTGTAACACTAGAGTTGAACAGGAGTGAAGGGTTTTTTTGATTCATTACTTGTTAAGGATTTCTAGTTCCATAACTAACGATTGTACAAGAAAGTAAAATGTTCAACATTGAAGCTCAACCGTTAGGTTTACAGCTAGATTCAATCATGGGCTTGGAATTTGGGCTATCCAATAATTTCTGTTATTTGGGCATTATTCAAAAAGATTTCCAAAGAATAGTTAGATCAAAACATTTTCCTCATCTCGGATGAATTGTTTTTAAAATTTTCAATAAGTATCCAACATTTTTAGTAACAGTTTTGGAATTCAAATTTTAATTATTTTTATCAAATATAATTTTTAAAAAAACTTTGAACGATTTTGACATTCCTGTTTCACTGAAAATAATTTCACAATGAATTCATATAAAAAAAAAACCTAAAACAAAGTTTTAAGCAGAATGTGTTAATTAATAGATTTTTATCATCAATAATACTATATTCTTATAAAATATGTGTACATTTTTCAATTATTTTATGAGTATTTTCCTGATTGATTTGTTTCAAATAATCCACTTTTAATAATGAACTAGAAATATAATAGAAATAAATTATTTCTACAGATCTAAAATAACAGCTATGGAAGATATGACTAATAAGTACTTGATAAACTAATTCTTTAAATAGTACAGGGAATAGAGTATAAAGGAAGTAAATGAATTTTTTAGATTTCTTTTCTCATTAAAAATCTAAGCCTTTAATATGCCCTCCTTCACACCTTCAGAACACAAACCCTCTGAATACTGCAATTTTAGAAATTTGCCTAATCAATTTTAAAGGAATATAGCAGGCTTGTCAACGAACCTCCAAAAAGATTTTATATAAATCCAAGATAAGTTATAAATTATATCTTATATAGTTCTAATAAATTTTTTTTTTTTTTTTTTTTTTTACATAAAATGGTGTTAAGAAGGTATGACTGAGCAAGTATGAAATTATTAAGGTTATCTATGGCGAGAGAGATCAAAAACTTTGATTTTTAAAAATTTACAATCACTCGTTGTTTTGTATTCGTAAGATTCCTCTATTCCGTGACTAAAATAAATCAGCAACCTACAAAGCTTAATGAAGCATGCACTAACATTGGATAAACTGATATAGGTATGCATAGATGAAATTAGTTATTCTAAAGAAAATAAATTTTACAGTTCTAATATAAATCAGCAAGCAATTAAATTCTGTAAATGGCTAATATTATAAAATATAATATGTTTTTTAATAATACTACTTATCTAATTTGAAAAATAGGACAAAATGTAGGAAGCTATCTACGGCAAGATTAAATCTAAATACCAGATGGTCAAGGATGCTGCAACCAGTAATTTACTCACTATGAAATAAAATCCAGCTATTGTAAGTATACCAGGGCAATAATCATTACAAAAACTGCTATAATTTCCAACAAAAGATTTCAATTGATATTTTATAATTATGTCAACAATTCACATTGATTTTAATTTTATTGTACGGCAGTTTGTGAATATTTGCTTGGGTTTAGACTGGAGAGCATTGCCAAAAAAATAAAATAAATAAATAAAAAATATATTTATAAATATGAAGTAAATAATGAATTATTTATTTAAAAAAGGTGGAGAAAATATGATGCTTAAAAATAGATTTTAAGTATATAAAAACTAACAAAATTCAAAATACAATGAAAAAACGAAACAAAAATATATATACATATTTATAAAAAATAAACAATTATATTATAAGATATTAAGTATGTATGGGTCATCAGTCAAATATAACACCTTGTCTAACTTTAATATTTGGTTGAGATATCCAATAAAAATGTCTTGTTTTCAGAACAACCTGGCCTTTTCTAAAATTCAGAACGGAAGAACTAATACGGCATTAAATTTCATCAGCTAACACTTGAAGAAAAAAAATAGTAGTATACATTTAAAATTTTTAAAAATCTGTGATAAAGGATTTGGAGTTACAATTTTGAAATAGAAAATGCTGAGTTTAATACGATGATATATATATATATATATAGGTCAACAGCTTTAAACTCACTTTTGGGAATTTTTATTACAGTTATGTTTCACTACCCCAAAAATGTTTAAAGCTAGAAAGCTAGAAACACAATTATTAAAACAAATAATATAACCCGACAATTCACAATAGCCAAGGAGTTGAGCTAGCTATCAGTTTACCTGGTATGAAAAGGAAAATAGCTAAGTATATTTAGAAAGTTAAACATTTTAATTGTTATTATTAAAAAACAAAATTAAAAAATTTTAACAATGAAAATAATTGTAAAAATATTTAGAGCTCGTCATAACTTGTAATCGACATAGGTTACACAAGACCATACTACCTTACCAAAAAATCCTTAAACTTCCAATAGGAACAACAAATAATTAATCAGTCGAAGCTTCACCAATTCAGACATCTTCAGAATTAGAAACATGAAATTACATTAATGCGAACCAGAAGTAGCATATTTCATTTCAAGTCTCAAAAGGACTAACGAAAAATCACTCCAAAATAGCTCTAGATATAAAACATACACCCTAAACTGTTTTGAAAAGACGGATAATGTCTCTGTTTGGTTAATATTTTACATGGTGTTCAAGTAAGATGTGCTATTTTTGGCCTGCATTATTGTGATTTATGTTTTTTAAAATTTAGATGGTGTTCAAATGTTCACAACATTGATCAGTTATTAATCATATCTATTTGAAAAACTCAAGATTTTAAAGAGCAATTTTCAAAATATTCAAATAATAATCTAATAATTATCTCATTTTAAAAAATATTTTTATCATTTTCGCCTGGTACTTCTTATTCCAAGATAAAAATTGTTTTTTAGTGTATTCAGGATAGCAATTACAACAGCTTTATTAACAAACATAAATTGTACTTTTCTAATTTAGTTACCTCACAGAATTTAGCAGGCTAATTCCTTATCTTTCAATAAGCATTTGCCTTTTTATCTGTTGTGAGCTTGATTTCTGAAAATGTTTTTCTTAGTAATTTATGGTCTATCCTTAGATAGTCTGGAAATAATCTGTTTTGTGTTAAACAGTAGTAGTGATTGTATTAAAATAACCCAGAGCCAGTTTAATCTGTGGCTTTGAAACAAAATATTTAGTTTTGGAATAGTTAAGTCCTAGAGAAGATTTGGTACACTAGTTTTTAACTTAATCCGTAACCTGCTCCAAAATCTACTATTCCTAGACTAATAAAGTATAGTACTGCTGATATTCCTTTATTGCCTCAGAATAAGTTGATTTACAACCAAGCTTAAGTCCAATTGCAATGATTATAAAACTTACATCTTTGTTCTTAACAGTTTGTTGTTGATAAGTTATTCATTTACTCAATATAATTAATAGGGCTCAAACATCAAAACAACTTAATATTACATATTTATAAAGGTGTAACCTAAAAGTTACGAAGATCATTTTAAATCTGCGACCTACTATCCATGAGGTAACTAAACTAAAAAATACCAAAAAATCATATCTTACATAACAGGAGAATGTTGCAAAATATCAAGTATTAAAATAATATTTTGTGTATGCGCATGTCTGATGCTTAAACAAGCAGGATGAGCAAAACAAACAGGGAATGCGAGAGGTAAACCAAAGCAAAGGATATGTTGGTGAATGCTGCAGTATCCTGTTGCTATGGATACCTACGATTAGGGGACAGATCATCTTTTTGATGGCGAGATGGTGACCTGGCCGACCCACTGCTGCTCCTCGAGCCGCGCAAAGATCCTCTCGAACTTACGCGCGACCCTGTACACCTCACAGTCTCAGGCTATTTCTTTTTCAGATCACAGTCATCAGGTTCCATTCAAAAATCATTTTCCATTTGTCTTTATTTTTTATAATTAAAATAAGATTATTTATGTAACTGAGCTATTGGAGCAGTCCATCCATTTTCCATTCAACAAAAAAAAAAAAAAGAAAAAAAAAAAAGGAAGAAAACTAGTTGAAACTCACATAGTGGTTGACATTGTGATAATAGTTCCAAGGCTTGAAGTTAATTTAATAATATTGAATTCATTCTTGAATATGAAATGGCCTACAATGTAGACTTTCATTAAATAGTTTCATAATACTTTTTTGTTTTACTTTGATCGAACTTCTCCATCCCTCGACATTATCTCCTAAATATTGTAGTATGTGTGATTTTCTAACAGAAAAACAGTTTTTTATAAAATCGAATTCACTTGAATTAGAATTGAAGAAAACTGTTTAGCAAATATTTTAGTTTATTAAATTATTTATGTAACATTAATATTTAAACTAATATTGATTTTGGTTATTCATTAGTTGATATATAGTTCTTTTGTTACTGTTTAAGATTTCAATTTTTTGACGTATTCAATTATTTTTTTTTGAAGAATAATTGTTCTCTTATAAATCAAATTATTTAATTTTTTATTGAGGTTCTATTAATAAAATTAGTAAAGTAACCGAGCACATACTCTCATCTCACAACTTTCCTGGCCTAGTTAAATAGAATTTTAAAGTTGAAAATAATTTTATTTTAACTACTTTTATACAATCACAATGCCAATTATATGTAAATTAAATAAATAAAAACAAAATCAATAAAACTGAGAACATACGCCGACTAAAAGTCATTAATTCCAACAAATGGAAAAGATTTTTTAGAAATGTAATGAAAAGAAAAATTCGTTGATAAAAAAAACTTCAATAATTCAATATCTTATTTATAAATTTTAAATACTATGCATTTTCTGAAATGTTTTGAATTTTTCTTTCTGTGAAGTTCTGCTTTATTAACACAATATATAAAATAAAACTTATTTAAATTAATAGTATTATGTAAGCAATAGTTTTAAAATATTCACTTTTAATTAAACTGATAAAAAATTTAAAATATTAAGTATAAGAATGTCGATAAGATGGGAGGCTCATCTCCATCCACTACCATGATTTACCTGACTCTTCAGATTCATAAAATTTTAAATACTTAGCCATTTATTCATTCTGAATATTTTCCTTGAATATCCATTTTAATAGCTACTTTAAAGAGATCTACCAAATTATTTGTAGCTGCACCAATTATTTTTGAGCTATGTTTTCTTTCAGAGTCGCATCACTTCTTCAAATATTTATAGAAAATGTGATTTGTAGAACATTTTTGAGATCAAAATTTTTAAGTTTCAGGTTCTTCTGATTCTAAAAATGTCATTTTTTAATGATGTACTCTGTGACATGTAAGATCTCAAGAAAGAGACATCTTGAATACAAATTTTTAAGGATTATTACCATTCCGCTACGTCAGGTATTCAGAACATATATTACAGGATATTAACTCATAAAATATTAGAATATTATTGAATAATTTTAAAAATGAAATCTTAAATCCCTGAATTATCACTTAACAACTAAAAGTTGGTTGTTTTGCCAATGCAGACATCATTTGGAAAGAAAAAGATAAAATAACAAATTTTTTTATTTATTTGTTTTTGACAGTTGATATGAGACGTGCTTGTTGCTTGTTTGTAGTAATCTAATCTTTGCCCTCATGGTGCTTGAATTGGCAAAGCATTATCTGGTTAGTTATTGATATTTGAGAGACTCAAGTCTTTGTTTATAGAATTTTCGATAATATAATAATAATATTTGTTCTTTTTGGTTTTTCTTTCAGTGATTGTCTTATAATATACATTATATATAAATATTAATAAATAAAATAAACCTGTCCCTTTAAATGAAAACAAAAAAACTATCATTTAAAGTATGACTGCCTACTTATATCATAACTAACTATAACTAAAATAGATAATAATATTTTAAGCATAATAGCAAGGCAATAGTGGATAGTAAGAAAGATAAGATTTGAAGTAGTAAGTCCAGTAGATTTAACAACATGCGAAGTCTGCTATAATAGAAATATGAATAGTATATCATCTATTTATTATTTATATAGATATTATATTAGGAAGAGAAGAGTGACGCTGACCGTGGGACTGAGATGGCGAAGTCGGCCTGAGGGATGCTAAGCTTGGTTGGCGGCTTGGTGGCTTGGTGTTGCTCCCTCGTGATCCTCTCCGCTCACCGCTCCCAGCCTTGGTGTCCCTCAGAAGAGATACATTCATCAGTCGTGGGTTGGGCGTGTTGAAGATAGTTCTGTTGTCTCGCCACCTGGCTCTGAAATAACGTCAAAGAAATATATTAATATATGAAATAATGTTAATGTTAGATGCTAACAATTGTTATAGTGTAATATATAATAAATGAAAATGTGAATATACTTCTACAAAATCTACAGGAGAGATTGAAAGAAAAGGAACTTTCTTTTCTTTCAATCTCTCCTGTATAAATTATAATAAATAATAAATATAAATTATAATATTAAAAACACACATTAGATCACAATAGTCCTATTTTATTTTTACTCTACATCCAATGTTTCAGCCCTTAGACCATTTTCATGGGAAGAAATCTATTTTAATATAAAAATAAAATCATATGCGCTGAATTTCCATAGTCCTGATAAGTATATCAGTATCCAATATCAGTATTCTATGATACTACTAATCAGGATTGGACTATTTAGGTATTGTGACAAAGGCAATTCAGTCCATATTTATTTTTATATTAAAATAGGTTTGTAACTTCCTCACCTAAGGGCTGAAATGTTGGATGTAGAGTAAAATAAAGTAGGAATATTTGGATCTAATGTGTGTTTTTATTCTTGTGAATAATAATTTTATAATAATAATATAAAGTATTGCATAATATAATAATAATTGTCTGACAATTGGAACATATTATCTATTAATTTGGTTGAGTGCATTAGTAGCTCTAGATAGAACACAGAGATGTCAATTATTTGTAGTTAGCTGACCACTTGATGCCAAATTACTGTCATCTCTCTCTACCCAGCTAATTTCACTAGATTACTATTAATTACTAACAATTCCAATGGTGTGATGACATTTTAGATTAAACATAATTACTGGGCTATACTAAGTAGTCATTGAAAAGTCAATAATTATAAATTTGTTCAAATAGTTAGTTAGATATTATAAGAAGGTATGGATAACCCTAACCCCTTAGTAATTCCAAACCCCACTAATTAGAACAAAAAAGTAAACAATTAAATTTGACTGATGGGAGACAGAAAGAAAATGGCTCTGTTTCTCAGCACATATCAGGAATTGCTTCCTGTGGTAGTGTTGAAAGCAGAGGGTGGTGTCTCTAAAAGGAAACCATTAAAACTAGGCAGTCATCCAGAAGTTAAGGAATCTCTTTATATGTGGTTTTTGCAGCAAATGTCATGAGGGTGTCCAATTTCCGGGAATATATTAGCTGAAAAGGAAAAATGTTTTTAAATAGTTTTTTAGAAGGATGACAAAACAGATTTTAACACCAGTATATTTTGGCTTAATAATAAAAAAAAAAAAACATTATTTTAATTTTTATTTTACTGGAAAATTTCTTTACACCCTTTTTAATTTTCATACAGAATTAGATAAGTCATAGAAACGTCATAAAGACATTTAATACTTGCTTGTAGTGGACATATGAATACAACATCCACAACCTAAGTCTGGTACTTTTAAGAAACTTGGAGATCAGGCGTTTCCTTTAGTAACAAAATCAGAGACTCAATGTACATTACATGATCATTTTTAGGAATATTTTTTTGATTTGTAATGTTTTTTTATTTAACTGATAATACATATAATTTCGTTATCTTGTGCAATTTCCCCATCATTTTACATTTAATTTTCTATAATCTAAGGCCATGCAATCTACATGTTAGGATAATCAAGACCGTCGTGTATTTGATCGATTGACGCGCATACTTACAAGAAATTAAATTGAATATTTTAATGAATTGGGCACTTTATTGGTTAACAAAATCACGTTATTTTGAGCTTCAATACTTTCTATGATTTCTAATGATAGTGAACGTATATAAAACGAGATAATAATATTCAAATAATTATTGAAGGAAGCTAGTCGACTGTTCTATATATCATGGATGATAAATATTCAAAACGCAGTCTTTTAAAATAAAAAATTAAAATTTTTTTTAAAAGACTGCATCCTGAATATTTATCATCTATTCAAATAATTAAAAAAGGTTCATATTTAGTTTAAAACTTGAAATGACAGTGCCTCTGAGAGGTATGCTGGGAACTAGGAGTGGCTTGAGTCCACTGTGGCGGCGATGTATACTGCTGCCAAGCACAATGCTATCCACGGGCGGATCTACGGGGGGGGGGCTTTCGGGCTGAATCCCCCCAAAATGGTAAAATATAACCATGTTTTATCGAAAAAAATATTTAAAAAGTATCTCTTAAAGTATTGTTGTTCGTCTAATTACATTTAAAAGGGCTTTAGGAATCACTTAAACACTATTTCATACAGGTAGTTAGCTTCTTTCTTTTTTTCCAAAGTAATTATCGTTATTTTTATGAAAAAAACCGCTTTCGGACTGAAGCCCCCCAAAATTAAATCCTGGATCCGCTAGTGATGCTATCAAACATCTCTAAGCCCTTATAAACATGCATTTATAAAAGCTAATAAAATAAATTTTAAATTAATATTTCTATTCAGAGAGAAACAAGATGAGATAGAAAACGGAAGATCTTTTTTGGATGGAAGTTTTGAAGCTAAAAACACTAAGCTAAAAGGTATAAGATAATCGACGGTATGAGTTAGGCGCTGGCATGGCATGACGTAGCTGAGTCCCCACCATTTTCCTTTAACTCTAATTATCTTTACAAATATATATAAGAAAAAAAAAATACTTTAATTGTTATAACCTTATCTTCACCGACGAATACAAATTGAAAATCCTTGCAAGTATCCAATTGTTTACTATAATTTATTTTCGGAAGTCGTATTTACCAATAAAAGGTTGAGCTGAAGTTGCTTTTCTTGGAAATCGGATTTCTCACTTCCTATATTATATATATTATATTATCCAATTTATTCCTGCTATGAAATTATCTTCCGCAATACACACCCTCCTTCCAATCTCTATATACATTCACATAAAATTGCTTCGCCTGAGAAATCCTTTATTATCCGTGCTACATCCTCCTAAAAGTCTATGGCACCCTCCTTAATCCGCAATGCCTTTTCAGTTTCTTCTTCAAATCTAGTATCATGGCATTTTCCTAGTTTTTCCGGAAATGTTCGTTGATTATATTTATATAGGGTTATTCCAGGAAGGATATATTTACAAATTTTAAAAAGAAATGTTAAAAGGATAACGATACACAATGTAATGAATTAGAGCGGGAAAGCAAAACTGATAATATGTAAGGATGATGGGTACTGACTTGCTGAAGAGGCGGAGTACGACACAGATGATGATGAACATGAGGGCCATTCCTACCAGGACGCCGATCATGGTGGGGTCCACGTACCTCTCTGGCTCCCAGGGTACATTGTCCGCTGAAGCATTAATTAACAATAACACATTAAGTCATTATTTGAAATAAGTTGAATCTTGAAGCTAAACCAGTGAAGGCATTCTTAAAATTAAGCATATCATTGTAGGGGTACAGCTAAAAATAAAACACACAGTAAAGTAATGCATTGTACCATGAAGTAATACTCAAGTTAAGTAAAGTAACACAAGACGACCTTACCTTGTTGGTCTTCATCAAGACTAAGGAATGCAAGATACGATCATGAAAAAAATGTATTTATGTTATGTATAATTTATTATGTAATGTTAAATATGAGAAAATATAATTTGTTTGTAGTGGATAATGTTATAAATGATGGCAAGAAGTAAGAAAACGAGGGGAGGGAGACGTTAAAGAGAATAATTTGGGGTCAACATTATAGAGAATGGGTGAAGTATAAATGAATTCTAATAGAATAAAAACAGTCCAACGTTTAGGTATGTAAAAAACATAGATGCTGAATTATTTTGTGGTGACAGAGTATTTGGTGACATAGGTTAAGTGATATTTCCAGTGTGGATCAACATGATTTTGTAGCTACTAAGTCCTGATGATGCCTGAATTGGTAAAACTTTGACCATATATATATATATATATATATATATGGTCAAAGTTTATATATATATATTATATATATATTTTATATATATATATATATTATATATATATATTATATATATATATATATATATATATATATATATATATATATATATATATAATATATATATATATATATATATATATATATATATACACATATACAGCGGCCGTATTAGACCTCCTGAAAGTCCTTTTTATGATTGACCTTAATAAATTTAATCACTGTTTTCTAACAAAAATTTTGTCTACTTTACGATGGTGTACTTAGAATTTTGTTATCGTGAATAGTTTTTAAGAAATTCCTTCTTCTTCAATAAAAAAATTGACCACACAAAATTTGTCTTAACTTCTTTTCCGTTCATAATCAAATGAACTTTTTTGTAGGAAATTTTTGTCTAGAACCCCCCCTTGAGTTTGGTCATACATATAATGTGTGTGTGTTTAGTTCTATGTTATCATAAATAAAAAGTATATATTAAATATACATATGTAAAGAAGCTTCAGGTTCTAACGAATCCTCACCTTTGGGTTAATTATTGAATTCATGCATTTATCACATGATGTTGGATAGGGATAACCGTGTGGTGTGGTTTCCAATTGTTTCAAATTATTAAAGTGTTTAGTGTCGTGTTTCATTGTACTTAAAAAATATAAAAACTGATTTTGTTTTGTAGGTAGGTATAGGTTTAAGATTTAATGTATTATTTAATTTGAAATTGTGAAATTAATAAAGATCTTGTTTTGTAGAAGCAAAAGCAATCTGTAGTTTATCTACAGTTAACACTAAACAAGATTATATGTATATGTATATATATATATAAATAAAATATACTTACCGATACATTCTATTTGGTTCTTCTTGTTGAGGGCCGGTTTCATCTCGAATCTGCATGAGCACCTGTTGTCCCGGCATTCCGTCTGCAGCACGCGCATCTCGCATTGTTCGTGAAAGAAGCATGTTCCGTTGATTTCTACCTCTGCAAAAATAATAATTACATTAAGTATATTTTAATTAATAGGTCATTAATAACTCATTAATAGGACAGTATGTCTATAATGAAGTTAATTCTTTAAAATAGAATATTAAAGGTATGCTGAAATCTACCTAAAAAATATATGAATGGCAGCGGACAATGTTCTGCAAATGTATAATATATATGTATCATTAAAGTACACTTAGAAAACATTCACTTTATGGAGAAAAAGTAAGCATGGTCTACACCACTGTCATTTTAACACTCATGTTTATAAGTCTTATTAAAATTAGTAAACGTTGCATTAAATATTGTTCACATCTGAGTGGAATGACGTAACTTCAATAGGACGGTATTCGACTGAAGGAAACCAAAGCAAATCGTTTTGAGTAAGCTCAAGCCAAAGTTGAATTCCTCTTTTTGATTTTATTTTTATTTAAAATAAATATATTTTATCTCCCAAAACTTGTTTTACTCTGCATTTAATAAATGCTTTTAAAAGGGTAGCGAAATTAAAACGTTAAGAAAAAATAGTTTAGAAATTTGTTTGTTTGCTTCGATATCTAGGCGCAAAACATTTAAGTTATCAGCGCCCATCAACTAAATAACACTACTTTTATACTATTTAAGTGGTAGGTACAAACAATAAAAACCAATTAATAAAAAAAGATTAATAAAATAAAGTAAATAAACAAATACACTAAAAGATAATAATAATATTAAATAGACTTAAAAAATAATAGTAATACAATTAATAAGTGAAATAAATAAATAAATGTACTTAAAAAAAAAATAAATGACTTTAAAAATAATTACATAAATAATATTAAATACAAAAATAAACAAAGAAAAAAAATCTGCAAAGGATCATTAGTAGGTTTAGAAGTAATATGATGACCTTTAATTTATTCTTCCTATATTTTTACATTAGTGAATTGAATTGAAAAAATAATAAAAATAAATAGAAAAAAATATAATTGTAATTAAAATCATTGAGCAAAATAATTATGGATTTATTTCATTCAGCCATTATTTAGATTTTTTATAGTTTCTGTTATTGTTCATGTGATTTGTATCTACGATGATTTTTAATTGTATTTATAATCATAACTGAGCGGAGATATTCTAATATATTTAGTAACGTATAGTATATAGAAAATATGGATGAAATATGAAAATATGTATTAGTAATATTGGCGATTCTCAGATTATGGGTAATTTTCATGATAAAATTGTAATAATTTTGACGGCATTTAAATACAATTTTCTAAATAAATACACCTTCTAATGCCGCTCAGCTGAGCAAATGGCCAAGATCAAAAGTGCTTTTTGCTCAGTAATTAAAGTAAACAAAGCTAATAATACGATTGTGGGAATGAAACGAGTTTTCAACTTGGTAATGACATTTTCACGTATTTTATTCGGCCTAACCCGCTGTATAACTAGTGTTATAATTTTTGTTTTTGTAACCGTAGTCAACCGTGAATTATAATAAATGAAATAATTTCAACAGGTAGCGAGATAATATACGCGTTGAGGGAGGCTCCCCAACTGGTCGGTCTATCCGCTGGTGGCTGCCCTTTAATTCCATGGCTACTACTGCACTCTGAAAAAAAATTCTCCATTGTTATCCCCTCATATCCTCCCAATTTCCTCCAATATCTGATGCTATGTTTTTTGCTTGGTAATGACATCAAAGCGATGGGACAATGTTTGAAAATGCATAAAACATACTTCACTCTTAACAAAAGTTAAAAAATATATATAATTCAAAATGCCTTATTTATTCTTTAGGAGTGGAAATAAATTTCACGGTCATTTTACATAGATTTCGAAATAAATAAAAAAAATTGTTTACTAGAAAACTGAACGTGAGAAAATACGTGGTAATGAAATGTTAGTAGCTTAAGTAATTATAAAATCACACTATTCTTTAATATATTAATTTTTAATATTTCATTATGAAGAAATACTTCTTCACCGTAAAGCTGTGGGAAAAAAAAAATCAAGTTGGACTTAAATAATCACGTAACATGGGTGATAAATATTCAGGACGCAGTATTTTTTTAAATTTTTTTTTTGTGCTCAAACTACGCCCTGAAGATGACCCACATATTTGGGTTGAAACGTTGGCATACATTAAAAAAAAAAAAGACTGCGTCTTGAATATTTATCACCCATGATATGTAGAATAGTCGACTACCTTCCTTCAATAATCACGTAAAAGTTTTAATGGACTAAAACTTACTCCTAAACTGAGAATCACCCATATATGTAGTAAAATATAACATGCAGTAATATATAATATATAGTAATATATAATATTAGCAATTAATAAATTTTACCAGCTTTGAATTAAGCCACGAAAAGATACTGTCCCTCACATCTGTACCGCTCGGCGGGTCAGGTAGAACCTCAACATTAGCTTACTTTGAATTCCCGTTAAAAGATAATTATTTTTTTATTTCTGGGCCCCGGAGATAAAGGACACTGTGTCCAACTTTTTTTTATTAAATAATTTAGTAACCAAGAAAAAATTTTAAGAGCTCAAACAACAAGTTCTAAAATTAAAACAAAAACATTAGTTCAATGTTGTAAAATAACAACTCAAAACTCTGTATCAACAAATACAAAATGTAACATGGACTACCGGAGTACAGATATAGAATCTTAGGAACTAATTTTAATAGCTCAAAGTTTAAAATTAGTTCCCCTGTATAAAAAAAAAAAAATAAAAATGACTGGTGTTTTTTTTACCTCTGAGGTACAGAATTAATAATATAAAACTACACAATTTTCGATATATTCACGATAACGATTCAATAATAGACCAGAACAGGGCAATATGATGCAATACTGCACTATGACGTAGTTTTCCGCCATTTTTTTTTATATCTTCGAAAGAAATAAAGGGTGAAAAATCTTTATTTTCAGAACTATTAAAAATAGCCAATTGTTTATAATTATTGTTCCATACTTTTTTTCTTTAATTATTAAACTTATAAACTAAAATAAACAATATTTTATTTTATTTCTTTACTTTTAAAAATTTAGTTTTGAGTTTTTTTTTTTTTTTTTCAATTTTACATCTATTTGTGTAGAAGCACCAATGATCCAAAAATTATACTAAGCTTATTATAAAGATCTGACTCGATTGAAAATAGACATTAATGGTTATTAAAAAAAGTTAAGAATATTACTTAAATTATAAATACAAACCGAAGACAATTAATGTAATGAATGGATTATGACAATTCTGTGAATTACATATTTTTGGTGTATCCAAGTGGAACACACTTTAGTTCTTCGTAAGTTATCTGTACAAATTTACCACTGTTTTCAAATAAATGTTTTTTTCTCTTTCAATAATATAAAATAATGCATTTTTAACTTCGACAATAAAAAAGTCATTAGTTTTTCGTCTTTGTTTGTTACCAACTAGGATATTATATATTAGATGTTGTTTTGTTTTTTTAAATATTAATCCAACTCCTATTTTCGTATATTAGTTTTCAAACTGTCAATGTATTCCTTTCATTTTTACTTTCCTACCTATACTAGGTAAGGAAAGTATTGCAATCGGGTCAAATTTCCGATATGCGGTTTTTGACGGATTTATACGTTTCAGAGACTCCTGATTTCGAAAAACACATTTTTAGCCATAGGTCTGTCAGTGCCAAGATTTTCTCAGGAAATAATAAACCGATTTTGTTGCTTCTTTTTTTATTTTGTAGGGTTTTAACTACTGATGCTTGTGACACTAATTGGATAACTTAAAACATGTTTTTCTACGTAGCGCGAAAACGGCTCTAAAGATTTTGATGAAACTTTTCTATAATGTTCTAATTATTTTCCTTTCAATTTTCGTATATGGACTAAATTCCCGGGAAAATTCAGGTAAAAAAAATTTAAAGAAAATAATTTTTTTTTTGGGCCTAACTCCCTAAGTATATATTCTATGGTAAAATTTATAATAAAATTTTTGAAAAGTAATTAAATTACCAACAAAAGAAAAACAAAAATCATCGGAATCGAACTAGTATTAGCGATAATACAGCATATTCTATTTTCTATTTTAATTTATTACTTTCCTATCCATACTAGGTGAGGAAAGTATTGCAATCGGGTCAAATTTCCGATATACGGCTTTTGACGGATCTATACGTTTCAGTGCCCCCTGAATTCGAAAAACACATTTTGGTGAATGAGAGGAAAAAAGATAACTAAGTGAAAGTAAGAAAATCTGTTGCCCGCATCACACAAGCTTCACTATTTCTTCTACTTTTAACAGAAACATTAATATTAGAGAGTATTGAAATTTTTACACTGATCTACCTCAAGCCGGTTTACATTGATTTAGTTTATCTAATAAATTGTACTCAAATCTTTTCAGGAAAATAAATCTAATTCAATTTGTTTTTGTTTCTTGATGGACATATGTAAAGATATAAAAACTTTTCTGAAATAGGTAGGAAAGTCGTGTGAGTGGACACCAGATTTTTTTTTCTTTAGTTGGAGATTAAATTCTTTTATTCTTATACAATAACAAAGAGAGATCTTTAATTATTTCTGTTTCTTAATTATGATATTTAATAGATAATATTTTGAAAATTCAGCATTAATCCATGTAAGATTATTTCAATGAGGTTAATACCTGTTTTATGAATTTAACCGAAATCGTTAGATAGTTAGAGCCATTTCGGTCTGTAATGTTATCTAAAGCACTCTTACCGTAAGCTGGTTTTATTGAAAAATATACCATATCAAACATACCTAAAATACGTAAATACAGTTGGAATGATTTTCCTTTTTTTAGTTAGGCCTTTAGCACACCTATTGACCATTTTGCCTCGGGACTTGGTTATTTGGTTGACTCAGCGGTGTGTTTTCCTTGAAAACTCAGATTGTAAATGCTTTATATATAAGTAAATGAAATTCGTATAAGTTATATATTTCGAGGTGATAGTAAACTCTGTGCTAGGAGAGAGTAGAAGGGAAGCTAT